CACCTCATACCTGTTAGAAGTGCTGTTATCAAATGACAATAAATAATATGTGTTGGCAATGATGTGGAGAAAAGGGAACCCTCCTTATGTACTATTGATGGAAATGTAAATTGGCACAGCTACTGTGGAAAACTGTGGAATTCCCCCAAAACTTAAAAATAGAACTATCTTACATTCTAGCAATTCCACTTCTGAATGTTTATCCACAGAAAATAAAACCACCAATTCAAAAAGATATATGCACCCACCCCTGTGTTCATTACAGCATTGTTTACAGTAGCCAAGATATGGAAGCAACCTAACGATCCATCAATAGATGAATGGATAAAGAAGATGTGTGTGTGTGTGTGTGTGTGTGTGTACACATATATACAGTGGAATATTACTCACCTATAAAAAGAATGAAATCTTCCCATTTGTGACAACATGGATGGACCTTGAGAGTATCTAAGTTAAAGAAGTCAGAGAAAAATATCATATGATTCACTTATATGTAGAATTAAAATACAAAACAAAACAGAATTTTCTAGTTTTCCTAATTTCATTAATTTCTGGTTTCATACCATTGTGGTTGGAAAAGATGCTTGATATAATTTTAATCCTCTTAAATTTATTAATTTGTAGCCTAGCCTATGATCTATCTTGGAAAATGTTGGATGTGCACTTGAGAAGAATGTGTATTCTGGGGCGCCTGGGTGGCTCAGTTGGCTAAGCATCTGACTCTTGATTTCGGCTCAGTCCTGGATCCCCATCATCCCTGCATCAGACTCTGCACTCAGCAAGGAGTCTGCTTGTTCTCTACTCTTCCCCCTACTCATGCTCGCATTCTCTCTCTCAAATAAATAAATGAAATCTTTAAAATAATGTTATATCCTCTTGTTGGATTGACCCCTTTATCATTATGTAACACCTTTCTTTGTCTCCCATTATAGTCTTTGTTTTGAAGTCTGTTTTCTCTAATATAGGTGTAGCTATTTCAGCTTTCTTTTGGTTTCCATTTTCAGGGGATATCTTTTTCCCTCTCTTCACTTTTTTTTCCATCCCTTCACTTTCTTTTTTTTTTTTTTAAGTTTTTATTTATTCCAGAGAGAGAGTGGGGGAGGGGGGAAGAGCAGAGGGGGAGGAACAGGCAGGCTCTGTGCTTGGGGCTTGATCTCAGGATCCTGAGATCATAACCTGAGCCTAAGCCAAGAGTCAGACTCTCAACTGATTGAGCCACCCAGGCGCCCCGATCCCTTCACTTTCAATTTGTATGTGCCCTTACATCTAAAATGTGTCTCTTGTAGGCAGCATATAGATGGGTCTTTGTTTAATCCATTTAGCTACTCTGTGTTTTGACTGGAGAATTTAGTCCATTTACATTTAAAATAATTTTTGATGGGTATGTGCTTACTGACATTTTGTTAATTGTTTTCTGTTTTTGTAGTTTCTCTCTTTTCCTTCTTTGCTCTCTTCTTTTGTGGTTTGATGACTTTTTCAAGGATTTATTTATTTGAGAGAAAGAGAGACAGTGCCTGAGTGGAAGTTGGGGGTGGGGAGGAAGGGACAGAGGGAGAAGAAGAGAGAATCTCAAGCAGACTCCCCAATGAGTGGGGAGCCTGACACAGGACTCGATCTCACGATCCCGAGATCATCCCCTGAGCCAAAAGCAAGAGTCGGGTGCTTAACCAACTGAGCCACCTGAGTGCCTCTGATGCCCTTCTTTAGTGGATGGTTATATTCCTTTCTCCTTATCTTTTGTGTATTTACTATAGGTTTTTGCTTTGTGGTTACCATGAGGCTCACATATAACAGCCTGTATCTCTAGCAGTCTATTTTAAGTCGATAACAACTTAAGTTTGATCCCATTCTAAAGCTAAATATTTATACGCTCCTCTACATTTTATGTTTTTGATGTCACATTTCACATCTTTTTGTGTATCCTTTAACTAATATCCTAATCATAATTATTTTTACTACTTTTGTCTTTTAACCTTCATATTAGCTTTATAAGTAATTAATCTACTACCTTTGCTATATATTTAATTTCCCAGTGAGACTTACTCTTTCATATGTGTTTTTGTTACTAATGAAAGAAGTTCCCTTAACTTTTCTTATAAGGCCAGTTTAGTGGTGATAAACTCCTTTAGCTTTTTCTTGTCTGGAAAACTTTATCTGTCCTTCAATTCTGAATGATAATTTTTCTGTGTAGAGTATCCTTGGTTCTAAGTATTTTTCTTTCAGCACTTTGAATATCATGCCACTCCCTTCTGGCCTGCAAAGTTGGTGCTGAGAAATCCACTGATAGTCTAATGGGGGATGCCTTTATACATAACAAGCTGTTTTCCTCTTGCTTTTAATATGTTGTCCTTGGCTTTCACTTTTGACGTTTTAATTATAATGTGTCTTGATGTGGGTTTCTTTGGCTTTCTCTTATTTGGAGCTGGTTAGGTTTCCTGAATCTGAGTGTTTTTTCCTTCCCCAGATTAGGGAAGTTTTTTGCCAGTATTCTTCAAATAAGATTTCTACCTCTTTCTCTCTTTCTTCTTCTGAGAGTCCTGTAATGAGAATGGTAGTTCATTTGATGTCCCATATGTTCCATTGTCTCTTTGCTATCTTCTAGCAATAAGATTTTAGAAATATTTGAAAAATATATACACCAAATATATATGCCACTCCATATTTACTGACTGAAATTTTTCAGTGAGTCTGAAGTAGAGTGGTGTCTCAGTTTTGGAAACACATATATCCATCCTGACCATTTTTAGCAGTTCAAAATGTAATAGGGTTGTTCTTCTGTTATTTTTTATTCACTTTTCACCCTTCATTCCATTCTAAGACATTTTATCAAATTTTGACTCAAACAATTTTGGTCCTTTCCCCCTTTCTCTTCTACTTCCCACAAACACACCCATATCAATTATCACCAGCTTAAGTAAACCTGATGTCTGTTGCTATTATTTCCCTCTTATCAGTAGATACTCCATGTTGGTTAGAGCTGTGGTTTCTTCCTCTTGATGTGCTTGTGATTACTGTGTTTTAGTTTGCTTTCCTGCAAAAGCTTTTACCCTTACTGAAACTTGTGTGCATGTGTGTGTGTTCAGTATTATAAAGATAACATAAAATAAGTTAATGTGATACAGTTGGATTGACTGTACTCTAAGACTTCATCAGTGGCATCATCTTTTCATTTGGTATTTAAAATTACTCATAACTACAACTTACTAAACTACTCAATTTTAAGAAAATATGGTGATGGCATATTGAATTCCATAATACAAATTGCTTATCTTGGTCAGAAGACCTGGGTTCCTTAATGATATCCAAACCATGTCTTGTTAAGGAGTTGATATAACTGATGCTATTTAAATGGTATTTTAAAATCTGTAATAGAGGAGAACACAGGCAGAAACCTCTTTGACCTCAGCCATAACAACTTGTTACTAGACACATCACCACAGGCAAGGTAAACAAAAGCAAAAAATGAACTATTGGGACTTCATCAAGATAAAAAGCTTCTGCACAGCAAAGGAAACAATCAACAAAACTAAAAGGCAGTCTATGGAATGGGAGAAGTTATTTGCAAGTGACATATCTGATAAAGGGTTAGTATGCAAAATCTATAAAGAACTGATCAAACTCAACACCCAGAAAACAATCCAGTTAAGAAAGGGCAGAAGACATTAATAGACACTTTTCCAAAGAAGACATACAAATGGCTAACAGAAACATGAAAAGATGCTCAATATCACTCACCATCAGGGAAATACAAATCAAAACCACAATAGATACCATCTCACACCTGTCAGGATGGCTAAAATTAAGAACACAAGGAACAATAGGTGTTGGTGAGGATGCAGAGAAAGGGGAACCCCCTTGCACTGTTGGTGGGAATGCAAACTGGTGCAGCCACTCTGGAAAACAGTATAGAGGTTCCTCTAAATGTTAAAAATAGAACTACCCTATGATCCAGCTATTGCACTACTAGGTATTTACCCAAAGAATATAAAACTACAGATTCAAAGGGATACATGCACCCTGATGTTTATAGCAACATTATCAATAGTAGCCAAACTATGGAAAGAGCCCAAATGTCCATCAACTGAGAATGGATAAAGAAGATGTGGTATATGTATACAATGGAATATTACTCAGCCATCAAAAAGAATGAAATCTTGCCATTTGCAATGACATGGATGGAGCTAATGTATATTATGCTAAGTGAAATAAGTCAGAGAAAGACAAGTACCACATGATCTCACTCATGTGGAATTTAAGAAAGAAAATAGATGAACATAGGCAAAAGGGGAAAAGAAAAAAAGAGAGAAACAAGCCATAAAAGACTCTTAATGATAGAGAACAAACTGAGGGTTGATGAAGGGACGTGGGTGGGGGATGGTCCAGATGGATGATGGGTATTAAGGAAGGCACTTGTTATGATGAGCACTAGGGGGTTGTATGTAAGTGATGAAACACTAAATTCTACTACAGAATACAAAATTGTACTGTATGTTAACTACCTAAAATTTAAATTAAAGTAATAAAATCTGTAATAAAGGGAAAATACTTTCAAGTTTTGACTTCTTTGAAACTTATTATTTAAATGGAAGTTGCCTGAGTCTGTATTTGAATTGTCTTAAATGTGTGTATTTTTCTGTAGGAATGAGATTTATCATGCTCCAGAAATAGGCATTTTTTTCATACTCCTTGCTCCTTTACACATTTGCTCTTTTGTTCCATTATTTATTATTTTATTTTCTCTCTGTCATTGTCCCCATTATCTGCTTGTGTGTGTGTGTGTGTGTGTGTGTGTGTGTAGCTATTCTTAACTGAAGGGTGTTTAAGGAAGAGCTGATGTTTGAAAATGACTTATTGGGTCTTAAGCATATGAAAACAATATATGCAGTCATTTTCTTTGAAAATTATCATTGTTAACAGAACTTAAGTATCCACAGGCATCTTAGGGGGAAATATTTCATTGGAATTAATTTTAAGTTCAATTTTTATTCTTTCCATTACAGTATTTCTCAAACTCTAAGGCTTGCAGATTTCACAAATTGAGATCTGGCATCATTTTCAGAGAAAGACCTTCAGTAATGTGTAAGTAGTTTTTTTCATTTTGATTTGTTTCTATTAGTTGTTTTCTGTATTAAACACTGAAAAGTTAATTTACCAATCTCTAAACAGAATTTGGCATATATTCACCACATAATGATTATGAATAACAAATAACACAATATAGCTTACTGAAAGATGTCTTAAAATATGCCCTGGGTCACTATTATTGACCATTAGTAGAGGCAACATCCTCAAGTATGAAGAATACTGTATTAAAGGACTTGAGTCCTTGCCTTGTCTGCCACTAACTAGCTACATATCCTAAGTGAGCTGCCTTCTGTGTTTTGGTTTCTTTGGCTATAAAATGAGGGATTAGACAAGGATTAGTAATAAAATCCTTTCCCCTGGAAATGTCTGTTAGTCCCAGCTTAACTTTTTTTCTTTTTATGATAAATCAAAGGTTAGTAATCATCCAAAAGGTAGCTCTCAAATTACATAGTTTTGTTTTGATTTTTTGTGTTGGTTTTTGCTTGGAAATAGATACTGAGAGAGGAGGTTGGCTCCAAATTAGACTAGGAGACAAGTAACGCCCCCCCCAAGAAATTTGCCCCACATAGTCCACTAATTTGGGTTAACCAAGCTTGTTTTTAAAAAGTTGCATTTGCCTTGGGTGGGTTGAACCTTTTTAAAAGGAGGTCACCCTACTGGTAAGTATAATATACAAATAAGATTTCTTTCTTTTCAAAATTTCCATAGAATGCTGATCCTGAAGGAGTGCCAGTTTTCAAGGAGATAGGAGAAAGGGACAGTAAAGTAGGGGTCACATCTATGCACGGAGCTTTTGGGGGGAGAATGATAAGGAAACTAGGCAGGTTGAAGGCCAGCACTTGGTATCTGGAAGGGCTTGAGGTGGAATAAAAGTGTAGACAGAGATGTGGAAAAGTAGAACTAGACAGGAAACTCCTTGAAGGCAGAAGCTATGGCTTTCATCAATATTGTCTATCACCAGCTCCTAGAATAGTGTCAAATCTTAGTAAGCTATTTATGAAAAATGCATTGGATGAATGAATCACTCAATAAATTTCTAATTTTGCCTAAGACTGTGATGGTTTTGGTTATTGGTTACTAGACTCAAATCATCTAGGTTATTATCTCTGTCTCTTCTACATTCAACAACTCCAGATAGTATTAAGGTAATTGAGGTTCAGAAAATTGATTCTGAATTACAGAAAGACTGTACACTTGAGGGTTATAAAGTGAACTATTAATTCGTTTAACAAATATTATTTTAAGCACCCACCTTACATACTTTGGGTGCTAGCTGGGAATGAAAAAAATGGGTTACTGGTTATATTGTATAGTTCTACTTGATGGAATATTATGTAGCCATTAGTATAATTATGAAGATTATAGCAGTTTAGAAAAATGCTTACTAAATAAATATACAAATATTTATATTCTATCTTGTAATTGCATGGGGATTAGAAGGATGTTTTCTGTTCTCAAAGAAGACTAGGAAACCTTAAATATAAACCAGATTTATTATTGGGAATGGAATTGTTGAATTTGTCTTCCTTTTTGTTATTTTGTACAATTCATAAAGTTTTAAATGAAAATGCAAATAAACTTAAGTTTTATAACAAATATGAATATGTATTGACCAGAAAGAGGAAATAGTGTTTTGTCAAAGAGGAAGAGAACAAAACTAAATTTGTAGGATAGTAGATAGGTTACCTTGGTTGGAAGAAAAATGAAAGATGAAGTTTAGAAAAGATGAGAAATGAGGGTCTCTGGTTTGGTTTTAGTAATGTAAGAAAGGATGGCTAGATTACATTCTTAACTGTGGAATTACTTTTTAAAAAAAGAAAATTTCTTCTAGCCTATATATTTACGTGAACTGGAGTGAAGGATAGTCGATTAGTCCATTGTGTTATCGGTGTTATCGACCATTTTAACATATAGGTCTTGAGTTTGTGACTATTATCATTCTCTATTTGAAAGACTTTTTATCCTTTTACCATTTCAGTAATAGTTTATAATTTTGCAAAACTTCTATGCTCAGATTTTTTGTTTTTCATATATCTTTAAAATGTTACCTTTCTACTCTTTTCTTGTCCTTAGAGTTAGCCTAGGTAGAAAATGCTTAACTACTTTGACCTAAAGGAGTGATAGAAGAAATACAAAAGAATCTGAATTGATTGGGTAGATATTGAAAGGGAGAAAAACAAACCAGCCTCCATTAGTTCGTGAATGGGCAAGAGCTTTCTTATAACGATTTCTTAATTTATTTCTCATAAACATTTTAGGGCTACAGAGCATATCCTTCTTGTTTTCTATTCTCAAAGAAAATAGATGTAATTTGAAGTAAAATACTAGCTAAGGAGGTATCTGAAATTTTAAGAAGATGCCTAAAAACATTTTATAAGCTAACTCCTTAAGTTATCTAAATCATATTGAACAGGGCGCCTGGGTGGCTCAGTTGGTTAAGCGACTGCCTTCGGCTCAGGTCATGATCCTGGAGTCCCGGGATCGAGTCCCGCATCGGGCTCCCTGCTCAGCAGGGAGTCTGCTTCTCCCTCTGACCTTCCCCCCTCTCATGTACTCTCTCTCTCTCATTCTCTCTCTCAAATAAATAAAAAATAAATAAAAAAAAAAGAATTAAATCATATTGAACAAAGAAGAATTAAAAAACAGTGGTTGGTTAATGATGCAGTATTATCATTACACCAGCTTAAGTAAAATTGTGTCATGGTTTTATATTACTGTGATTTTTACAGAACTATTGGATTGACTGCTTATTTTGTACGGCCCCCAGTTTAAATGAAGTCAAAGAAATTTACGTCCAAAAAGAAAAAAAAAGGAAATTTACCTATGTACCTCCTAATTGTTTAGGGGTTTTTGCTCTCATGTACTACACTAAAAGTCCAAGTTTTGTGTGTGACGAGGAATGCTTTCCTCAAATGCTCTTTCCAAGGAATCGTTGGTGGTTCTTGCCAACACAAGGCATTTTGTCTTAATATACATGTAGTATTTTTCACGAGGATTATAATTTTCACACTCCAGTATAAGTCTCTTGGCTAAATGGAATTGTTAGAAAATACTGTTGTTCATTTCTATAGTAAAGATTTTCAGTATTTTCTTTGCCTTGTAATTTTTAACAATGTCTTCCCCCTAGGTTCTAAACCTCAAACTTATTTTAAAAACAGTTGAATTAAAATAAAAAGTAGAGGTGCATTTTCAGTATTTTATGAGTGATTTAAAGGCCATTTAGATATTGCAAGAAGTCACCTGGAATGTTGCCAACTATGTTCTTGGCATTACATATTTGGTCAGCAGTGCCTTAAAACATTTTGTTTACCTTCCTAACCACTCTCCGCCCTGAAATGAGTAAATGGAAAACAACATCAAGGCAAGAGAACTGGAGTGATATGTAATTTATTTTTTTGTCAATAAATGTAAGAAGATTTTATCACCACTTTAAAATTGATTATTTTCTTCTATGTGTTGATGAGGAATAATAATTTGTTCTCCTTTATTAGTTATTTACTGTAGTCAGTTGTAAATGAGATCAAATCATTAAAATCTGTGAATCAGGAAGATGTAACAAAATGAATTTTTCATACAAATTTCTCCCAAATATCGGCTTATTAGTATAATAGCTGTTTATTTCCAACTAGCTGGCTAAGGTAGTAGTAGCTTTCAAAAGCATTTATTAAATATATGTATGTTTTCATGATAGTACTATTCTCATTCTCTTGCCCTTCTTTCTGCATAGCAATATGTAAAACTACATAGAATGAGATAGTGACTATATGCTGTAGTTTAAATAACATGAAGTTAGTGGGGCACTTGACTAGCTCAGTTGGAAGAGCATGCGACTCTTGATCTGGGAGTTGTGAGTTCAAGCCCCACATTGGCTGTAATTATTTAATAATTATTACTTAAAAAATAAATAAATAAACTTAAATAACATGAAGTTAGAGTCTAGGAAAAAGGAGAATATTTAAATGTCTTTATTATAATGAAAGGAAAGTGTTTTACCAAGGTATTTTTAAGATTTGTATCTATCAAGAGCTTATAGCTTCAAATTCATGCACACATAAAAGCAGATAAACATATGTAGAAGCTTGGTTAACTTTTGACTTAGCAATTCTACTTTAATAAATTTTTTCTGAAGAAATAATAGCCATAGGTTTATGTTCAAGATTATCCATCATGGTATTTAAAAATATTAGCAAAGTAGAAGTAAAACTGATCAACAATAAGGAAATAGATCAATAATGTTATGTCCGTAAAATAAAATACTGTGGAGCCATTAAGAAATATTTTCAAAGACTATGTAAGGAAATGAAGGAAAAAAGTTAAATACAAAAGTGCTTTTAAAAAAGGTGCTTTAGGGGAGCCTGGGTGGCTCAGATGGTTGGACATCTGCCTTCAGGCTCAGGTCATGATCCCAGAGTCCTGGTATCAAGCCCCACGTCCGGCTCCTGGCTCGGCAGGGAGCCTGCTTTTCCCTCTCCCTCTCCCCCTGCTCATGCTCTCTCTCTCTCTCTCTCTCTCTGTATCTCTGTGTCTCGAATGAATAAATAAAATCTTAAAAAAAAAAAAGGTGCTTTAAAAAAATAATAAAAAATAAATTAAAAAGGTGCTTTTGTTCTCCTACTTTTTAGAAATAGGGTGAAACTACTTATTTTTTGTGGAGGACCTACCTATTACATGTAGTCAGCTGAGAGTGACGACTATTTAACAGTCTTCTCAAGAGACAGCTTATTACTTTCTCTTTACTGTCAGGCTAGGGGCCATTTCTGAAAAGTTTAAGCCCTTTATTTTGCACAGAAATCTTATGTGTAAGGCAGTTGCTAATTGAAGTCATATACATATAAAAGAAGTAGGAACATTTGATCCTTCTTTAGGTTTGTTTTCTAAGCAAACAGTGGGAATATTTAGAGTATATTTAAGCAATGGATACAGATTGCACAAAATGTGGCTTGAATTCTGAAAACTTACTATGTTAGCAATAAAGAAAATTCAGTAAGTTTGGGATTATGATGAAAATGGTGATAATTGTATTATAAACAAGTATACTACATAAAAATTTGTTTGCCCAAAGTTACTTTATAGTCTACAAAGTTTATTTTTTTTTTTAAAGATTTTATTTATTAGAGAGAGAGAGAACACAAGCAGGGGGAGCTGCAGGCAGAGGGGGAAGTAGGCTCCCTGCTGAGCAAGGAGCCCAATGCGGGGACCCCATCCCAGGACCCCAGGATCATGACCCGAGCTGAAGGCAGACGCATAACTGAGCCACCTAGGCATCCCAAAGTTTATTTACTTTAAACTGGCGTTTTCTAAAGCATGTTTTGAGTTTTTTTTCTAGTTTTTAAGTGGGAAAATAGGGTTCACTGTTCAAATAGACTTGGGAAATCCTGGGCTAACAAGCAAAGTTAACAGGTACCTTTATCAAAGGACTGTTGAAGCTCTCATATTTTTATATATTTTATTATAAGATATACATATTTTTATATATATATTTTATTATATATAATATATATTTTATATATACATTTTATTATATATTATAAGTATATATACCTAATTTATTTGTCCTTTTTTGCATTTATTGGAACCAAATTTAATGAGACATGTTGGAAAATATCTGTTTTATGTTAAACTTTTTCCTATAACTTATATAAGCAATGACAGTACTGTGGAGGGTGTATTCTCCTCGTTAAACAAATAAGGTTGAAATGACGCCTGAAGGAGATTTTGCTATTAAAGTGTTTGCAGATACATAATGGGATTCTACTTTGTGTATTTTTTCTTTGATTTTGTTATAAGCATGCATTATTGTTCTAATCTCTGCCCTACTTTTATTTGAAGTTCCTCTGTTTGTTGTATCTGCTGAGACTCACTCAGGGTGGGTTTTTCTTTGTATGTTTTTGTAGTTTTAGAATAGGAGGTCATCTTCAGCTGGGCTTTATCTGTGGAGAACCTGGGTTGAGGGTGTTCCCTTCTAGAACTGTTTTATATTTGCTTCCCCCAGGGTATCACTAGCCTGGGAACACAGTTATTGTTAATACCTGTTTGGAGCTTCTTGGGACTATGCATATGGCTTAAGGTCAAACCTCATATCCAAGTATGAGTAGGCCTGTTGTTATACATTCACAGGGGAGACTTTTTACCCCACCAAAGCTGGGCCCAGATTGAGGCAAACTGTTATCTCCCTGTACCAGTGGATGGATTTTTAAAATCCGCTCTTTAACTGGGGATATAGTCCTTTGAGGCTCTTGGTTCTATACAGATGTCTCAGTTCTAATTCCCTATCTTATGTGGTCCCAAAGACTTGTCTCCTGTCCCTGTAATGCCTTTTAAAACACAAACCCCAGTGGGTGGCTCAGTCTGTGAAACGTCTGCCTTCAGCTCAGGTCATGATCCCAGGGTCCTGGGATCAAGTCCTGCATTGGCTCCCTGCTCAGCGCAGAGCCTGCTTCTCCCTCTCCCTCTGCCCCTCCCCCTGCTTGTGCTCTCTTGCTCTCTCTATCAAATAAATAAATAAAATCTTAAAAAACACACACACACACACACAAACCCCTTGATTACTGAGGAAATCAGCAAATTTCCCCAACCCATTATCAGCTTATACACTGCACTCTGGTCTTTGGTTTGCTCAGTGTTTTGGGATCCTGGGAATTTCATTTTCACAGGTTAGTCTGTGCATTTACAAGGATGTGTTTTGTTGTTGTTTTTGTCATGTATTTAGGTAATCCAGGCTTCCATGTTGTAAAAAATTGAAATTCATGCATTACTTTTATATTCAGAAAATGATGCTAAATATATTCCCATTTTAAAAAACCATACATTTTACATATTAAAATGAAATGTGTAATAGTACTGTGTTTATCAGAGAAGTAGTATTCTTTCTATAGTTTTTCATTCTTATTTATGCACAAACCACTTCTATTTATTTGACTTATTAGAGGATACTACTAGTCTTTCACTTTCCTTTTAGATGTAACCTTCTGTAATGGAAGATGATTGAAGATAAAGGGCCTCGTGTTGCTGACTACTTTGTTGTAGCAGGATTAACTGATGTTTCAAAGCCTCTTGAAGAAGAAATTCACTTCAATGATGCCTGTCATAAAGTAGCTAAACCAAAAGAACCTATAACAGATGTTTCAGTGATTATTAAATCTCTTGGGGAGGAAGTGCCACGGGATTATATATGTATTGATGTTACCCCAACTGGATTGTCGGCTGATCTCAATAATGGGAGTCTTGTGGGGCCGCAGATTTACCTTTGCTACAGAAGAGGAAGAGATAAGCCTCCACTTACAGATCTAGGGTAAGTTTTTTTTTTAATTGTTGCTTTTGATGAAAATAATGTGCCTTGTAGATTTTGAAGTTCACTGTTCAATTTGTTCATTAATAAATACATGTCAGCTGGGGCGCCCAGGTGGCTCAGTCGTTAAGCGTCTGCCTTTGGCTCAGGTCATGATCCCAGGGTCCTGAGATCGAGCCCCGCATCAGGCTCCCTGCTCAGCGGGAAGCCTGCTTCTCCCTCTCCCACTCCCCCTGCTTGTGTTCCTGCTTTCGCTGTCTCTCTCTCTCTGTCAAATAAATAAATAAAATCTTTAAAAATAATAATAATAATAAATAAACACATGTCAACTTTAGAAAAATAGACACATGTTTAAAATCCTGTGTTCTCTTTCTGTGTTCTTTATACCATTTGATTGTCCCTTTGTCCTACAGGTGCCCAGCACTTTCTTCTTGTCAGAGTTTCTTTCTGTTAAGGGGAGAGACTTTGAAAACTTCTACAGGAAAGTATCAGAAAACTAGGGTATTGTCCTGACTGCAAGAATTTTAATCATTTTAAAATTAAGTGCTAGAAAAGGATGACTTTTGAGCATCAGTCTTATATCGTTGTAGATAGATGCTTAAGGCTGTATGCATCAAACAAGGATCTTGAGGTAAATTAGTGCTTTACTTAGGATATTATATTGAACTTAGGGCTCCTTTTTTCTATAACAGCTTTATTGAGATAGAATTCACATACCATACAGTTCACCTATTTAAAGTGTACAATCTGGTAGGTTTTAGTGTCTTTATAGAGTTATGCAACCATAACCACAATAAATTTTAGAACATTTTTATTATGCCAGAAAGAAACCTCATACTCATTTTAGTTTCTATCCAATTCTGCCTAACCCCCTCAGCTCTAGGCAATGCTTATTCTATTTTCTGTCTCTATGGATTTCCCTATTCTGGATATTATATAAATAGAATCATACTCTAAGGCAAAAAAAGAATAGTTTTTGTACCTGGCTTCTTTCACTTAGCATTATGTTTTCCAGGTTTATTCATGTTGTAGTATGTGTCAGTACTTTATTCCTTTACATGGCTGAATAATATTCCATTTTATGGATGTACCCCTATTTACTTATTTTCACTATTTATTGATTCATCAGTTTGATGGACATGTAGGTTGTTTCTACTTTTTGGCCACTATGAATAACACTGCTGGAAATAATCATATATAAATTTTTTTTATGGACATATGTTTTCAATTCTCTTGTGTATATATATATTTAGGAGTACAATTGCTGGGTCATATGATAACTCTGTGTTTAATCTTTTGAGGAACTGCCAGACTGTCTTCCAAAGTAGCCACGCTACTTTGCATTTCCGCCAGCAGTGTATGAAGGTTCCAGTTTCTCCACATCCTAGCCAACATTTTGTATTGTCATTTTGATTATAGCTTTCCTAATGGTAACTCATTGTGATCCTAATTTGCATTCACTTGATGGTTAATGATGTTGAACATCTTTTGAGGTACTTGTGGGCCATCTGTAAATCTTTTGAGAAATGTCTGTACAGAATCCTTTACCCATTTTTTAATTGGCTTGTCTTTTTAGTGTTGAACTTTAATAGTTCTTTACATATTTTAGATGCAAGTCCCTTATCAGATATATGATTCACAAATGTTTTCTCCCATTCTGTGGGTTGTCTTTTCACTTTCTTTATGGTATCCTTCGAAGCTAAAAAGTTTTTAATTTTGATGAAGTCTGATCTATTTTTTTCTTTTGTTGCTTGTGTTTTGGCATCAGATCTAAGAAGGCTTTTACTAATCCAAGGGCATGGGGATTTACACCTAAGTTTTTGTGTAAGAGTTTTATAGATTCAGCCTTTATATTTAGGTCTTTGATCTATTTTGAATTCATTTTTGTATATGGTTGAGGAAGGGGTCCAGCCTCACTATTTTGCTTATGGATATCCAGTTGTCCCAACACCATCTGTTGAGGAGAATATTCTTTCCCCATTTTCAAATATTAATAGGCCATTAATAGGCCATAGATGTATGTACTGGGTTTATTTCTGGACTCTCAATTCTGTTTTGTCTACATGTCTTATCTTTGTGCCAGTACTACACAGGTTTTTTTTAACTTTTTTTTTAAGATTTTATTTATTTGTCAGAGAGAGAGAGGGAGCACAAGCAGAGGGAGCGGCAGGCAGAGGGAGAAGCAGGCTCCCCACTGAGCAGGGAGCCCGATGTGGGACTCCATCCCAGGACCCTGGGATCATGACCTGAGCCGAAGGCAGATGCTTAACCAACTGAGCCACCCAGGCATCCCCACAGTTTTGAATACTGTAGTTTTGTAGTAAGTTTTTACATTGAAATGTGAGTCTTCCAACTTTGATCATTTTGAAGATCATTTTGACTATTCTGTCTGTGTCCCTTGAATTTCCGTATGAATCTTAGGATCAGCTCGTCAGTTTTTTTTTTTTTTTTGACTGCCTATCAGATTTTTTTTGTAATTTAAATTCAATTAATTAACATATAGTGTATTATTAGTTTCAGAGGTAGAGTTTAGTGATTCATCAGTTGCATGTCACACCCAGTGCTCATTAGATCAAGTGTCCTCCTTAATGCCCATTACCCAGTTACCCCGTCCTTCCACCCACCTCTCCTCCAGCAACCCTCAGTTTGTTTTATAGTTATAGTTAAGAGTCTCTTATGGTTTGTCTCCCTCTCTGATTTCTTCTTATTTTATGTTTCCCTCCCTTCCTGTATGATTCTCTGTTTTGTTTCTTAAATTCCACATATGAGTGAAATCATATAATTGTCTTTCTCTGATTGACTTATTTCTCTTAGCATAATACCCTGTAGTTCTATCCACATCATTGCAAATGGTAAGATTTCATTTTTTTGATGGCTGAGTAATATTCCATTGTGTGTGTGTGTGTGTGTGTGTGTGTGTGTGTGTGTGTGTGTGTATGTATCACATCTTCTTTATTCATCTGTCAATAGACAACTGGCTCTTTCCATATTTTGGCTATTATGGAAACTGCTGCTATAAACATTGGGGTGCAGTTGCCCCTTCGGATCACTATGTTTGTATCCTTTGGGTAAAACCTAGTAGTGCAATTGCTGGGTCATAGGGTAGTTCTATTTTTAACTTTTTGAGGAACCTCCATACCATTTTCCAGAGTGGCTGTACCAGCTTGCATTCCCACCAGCAGTATAAGGGGTTCCCCTTTCTCCATAAGTTTACCAACATCTATTGTTTCCTGACTTGTTAATTTTAGCCATTCTGACTGGTGTGAGGTGGTATCTCATTGTGGTTTTGATTTATATTTTTCTGATGCCGAGTGATGTTGAGCATCTTTTCATGTGTCTGTTGGCCATCTGGATGTCTTCTTTGGAAAAGTGTCTATTCATGTCTTCTGTCCATTTCCTGACTGGATTATTTGTTTTTCGGGTGTTGAGTTTGATAAATTCTTTATAGATTTTTGGATACTCAGCTTGTCAATTTTTGCAAAGATCGGGGTTCTTTTTAATATGAATATATATATGTATATGTATTTATCTTTACATTTATATATTTCTCCTTTACATATATGTATCTTTACATTCATATATTTCTCTCTTACATATATATAAAATATATATTCATCTTTTAAAAAGAACCCCTATCTTTGCAGAAATTGACATTATATATACATAATATAATATATATTATATATGCAAAAGGAGAATATATAAATGTAAATATATATATATATATGGAGCAAAAGAGGAACGATATTTTAATGATAGAAAAATAAGATTCCCACTGAAAAACAAAGAAAAAGGCCTAAGGAAAGCTACAGGTAGCTCTAATATTAATGTCTTCAAAATCGATAAAGAGTTTATAAGAAATAAAGATTAGCCTTCTTGTTTTCATTGCTCAGTTGCAAAAGAGCATGCACTTAACTTGGAATGTTTGAGTTAAAAATAAAGAAGATATCAATATCCCTACTGATGTCACCAGAATGGGCTTTAAATTTCCATCTCCTATTATATTAAGTCTGAAAGTGGACAGTCATGTTTACTAATGCCTGAGGGGAGATAGAATGAATTGGAAAAGTTCCTCAAATCTCTTCTACTTTAAAAATTCTATCATCTAATGTTTTGTATCAAAAATCAATTTTTATTCTCTTCATGAAGGAATTCTAGTAATTTTAACTTGGTTTCAGAACAGCAACTATATTACTTCTTTTTTTTTTTAAGATTTTTATTTATTTATTTGTCAGAGAGAGAGAGCACAAGCAGGGAGAGTGGCAGGCAGAAGGAGAAGTAGGCTCCCCACTGAGCAAGGAGCCCAGTGCAGGACTCGATCCCAGGACCCTGGGATCATGACCTGAGCCGAAGGCAGACACTCAACAACTGAGCCACCCAGAAGCCCTATTATACTGCTTCTTATAAAGCTTAATGTATTTAGTAAATGGCTTGGGAAAGTAAGCCAGCTGTTAGGTCTTTTGTTTGTTTGTTTCAAGTTTTTATTTCTTTATTAAAGATTTAGTTACTTATTTGAAAGAAAGAGACACAGAAAGAGAGAGCAGAGAGAGGAGACAAGCAGACTCCCCCCTGAATGGGGAGGCTGACATGGAACTTGAACCCAGGACCCTGAGATCATGACCTGAGCCAAAGTCAAGAGTTGGATGCTTAACCAACTGAGCCCCCCAGGCAACCCTCAAGTTTTTATTTAAATTCTAGTTAGTTGACTGTAGTGTAATATTGGTTTCAGGAGTAGAATTTAATGATTCATCACTTATATATAACACCCAGTGCTCATCCCAACAAGTGCCCTCCTTAATACCCATCATCTGCCTTGACCATGCCCTGCTCACCTACCTTCCAGCAACCCTCAGTCTGTTCTCTATAGTTAAGAGTCTCTTATAGATCTTCTTTTCAAAAGATTAGGTAATTTGCTCCTGTGACCACTGATCATCCTCAGAATTATAGATTGTGGATGACAGGAAGGGAATCTTGCAGATTTTTGTTAGGATGTTGGAATTTCCTAATTTAGATATGAGGAATTTTCCAAGTATAGGAAGGATTCTCCAATAGTTAAGGGCTTAAACTGGAATAAATAAATTAACCACTCTTATAAATATCCCCCTTTTCTGTCATTGTGGAGGATAGGGCAACATTTTTAAGAGCCTTTGAAAAGCTTAGTTTAGGTAGACAAGAAAAGTTCCTAACAATATAAAAATAAAAAATAATAACACAAGTAATATATATAACAGCATAATACCTGATTAAAGAAAACAGGTATCTTATGTTTCAAATGTATTTATATTCCATATCTTTAAGAAATTCAAGGTAATAAATGGTGGTTTGTTTTGTGTTGTATTTTGTTTTCTTGTTTTCTTGTTTTCAATTGAGTATCTGTTTTCCAGACACTATTTTGGAGGCCTTATTTATACTCTTATCTAATTCTCTCAAGATCCTGTGGGTTAGATTTTTAAAATTTTTTTTTAAGATTTTATTTATTTATTTGACAGAGAGAGCACAGCGAGAGAGCACAAGCAGGAGAAGGGGTGGAGGGAGAGGGGGGAAGCAGACTCCCTGCTGAGTAGGGAGCCTGACGTGGGGCTTGATCCCAGGACCCTGTGATCATGACCTGAGGACACTTAACCAACTGAGCTACCCAGGCACCCCTTGATTTTTGAATGTTATAGCTGATTAGTACAAGGCTCAAAGAGATTAAATATTTGCCTAAGAGAATACAGCTAGTAACAGGTAGTAGAAATTTGATTGAGATGTGTCTAACTTTTCTCTGTTACAATGCCTTTTTTTAAAGATTAAAAAAAAAAACAGCAAGATCAAAAAGAGGAGGAGGAGTAAGCATTTAAGTTAACATTAGGATAAATATAGTTGCTATGATTAAGCATCAAATTTAGCCCTAAATTTTCAAAATAAAATGTTGAAAGAAAAATTTAAGTTTGCTGACAGCCATGACAAAAAGGGAAATTAAAAATTATATTAGAAAGAAATAATTTGACCAATTTTTGGCACTTAATTTTATTTGAATAATGGGATTTTATAAAAGGAAATACTGATATTGAGGATATTGCCTGTTATAACAATTTTTATAGCAAATGCAGAAACACAATATAGTAGAGCTTTAAAGTTTTTTTTTTTTCCTCATGCCAGGGAGTTAGCAGTAAAATACAAATCAGTGAATTCTCTGAGGGAATAGACTAATATTATTCCAGTATGATGTTTTCCTTGTATGTGAATGTACTTCTTAGAGGATTTAATGAATGGATGGCTGGACTGACCATTAATAAAAGCCTACCATTTTACCACAATAAAAAAAAGAAGAAGAAATGTCTTTCACCCATCCTTTTGCTTACAGATGGATTTGAGGTTATTTTCTCTTTTGAAAACCTATAGCTGTCTCTTAAATTTGAGAGCATTTGGAGGTAAAAGTGTGCATGCAGGTTCTATAATATTTGGCAAGGAGCCTTTTGTAAAATTTCAACTTTGACTAAATTATAAAATTGCTTTTTCTAAAGAAGATGCTTGTTTTTAGAGACAAAAATAAATAAATGAATCTATTAAATGGAATGCTAAAGCAAGTGCCTCTGCACTTACTTGTTGCCAATATGTGGTTTATGCTAACAAACACAAAAGATAATCTGAATTTTCCTTACATTATTTTAGTTTTTGGTGGGGAAACCACTCTTCCTTTAGTCTTATATGGGACAGTGCAACTCAAACTTGCAGTAAGATTGGAGTATTTGCTACATTTAAGGATCAGTTTATGATACCTGACAGTATTACCTATCTGTTTGAAGATGTTTTGCATTTGTGTAGTTATTTATGTATTTTTCTTTTAGGGTTTTGTATGACTGGAAAGAAAGATTGAAACAGGGATGTGAAATTATTCAGAGTACTCCCTACGGACGCCCTGCAAATATTAGTGGTAGTACCTCATCACAAAAAATATATATCACTTTCCGAAGAGCCTCTGAAAACATGACTCAGAATACATTGGCTGTCACGGACATATGTATTATTGTACCCAGTAAAGGAGAAAGTCCACCACACACATTTTGCAAAGTCAACAAGAATCTCAATAACAGTATGGTAAGTGACTCTTTTGTACTGATAAAATTAGCCACTGATGAGAAAAGCATAATTTAAAATCTCTGAAAAACAGTGTAACATAATAACTGAATTAAAAAATATGTTGTCGGGTTTTTTTTCATATTTTATTTATTTGAGAGAGAGCATGAGGGGGGTGGTGGGGCAGAGGGAGAGGGAGAAGAAGACTCCCCACTGAGCAAGGAGCGAGACGCAGGGCTTGATCCCAGGACCCTGAGATCATGACCTGAGCCAAAGGCAGATGCTTAACCGACTGAGCCAGCCAGGCACCCCCTAAAAATATGTTTTTAAAGATGTTGGATATTTTATTTTTGGAAAAGTACTTTAGTTGTACTTTCAATTGTACTTTCAAAAGGAGCTGTACAAAAAGTTTGCTCTCTTGCTTGCTTTCTAATTAAAAGCATATTTTTTTCCCTTACTGGAAATGTAACACACTAGCCAAGGGTAATCCCTTTACTTGTGCACTAGATGCTGTATACTTACCTATTTGAGGACATGGCTTCAGCAATTCTTCCTACTTTTTTGGGAACCATCAGTCTTTCTCTGTTGGATTATTTCCTCCAGCATGCAAAGCATGTTGCAATATTGCCCATCTTTACAAAACTTCTTGACCCCTGTGTGCACCTCCATTCTTTACCTCATTTCATTGCTCTCCTTTTCAATACATCTCAGAAGAGGGGACTATATTCTGTCCTCTTCCTCATTTTGACTCTCTAGTTAGGCTTTTGTCTCTGTCATGCCACCAAGATTGTTCTTGTTGAATCCAGTGGTTTTAATTTGTAAATTTTCAGTAGGTTTTGACATAGCTATCACTTCTTCCTTCTTGAAACCGTGGCAGGAAGATAAGATGTATTCTCTTACTTTTTCCTCCTACCTTACCCCATTCCCCTTCTGCCTTTGCTAATTCCTAACCACTGCACAATGCAGTGCCCCAGGGCTCAGTCCTCAGACCATTTATCTTTATCATCTAAACTCAGTCCCTTGATGATTTAATCATTTAAATACAGGTTATCTGTGGTTGGCTTCTAAATTTGTGTGTCTAGCTTGGACCTCTGTAATTCATCTCTTCTTGGACATCTTATCGAATAAATCATCTCAAAATTTAACATGTCTAAAACTCAACTCCTCGTGTGCCTCTCCCAACCTGTTTAGCCCATAGTCGTGCTCATCTAGCAAATGGAAATTCCACTCTTCTAGTTACTCAGACTAAAAACCTTGCAGTAATCCTTAACCTTTCTCTTCTCCTTTTCTTTTGTAAATTCTGTTGACTCTAATTTCAAAATATATCTTAAACTTGACCACTACTCACCCTCTCTATTGCCACAACCCTGGTCCTGTTTATTATTGTGGAGGTTGAGCATCTTCTAATATATAACAACAGTATCGAATGACTGAATACTACTGAATTAAATGGATGTTGCCACAATTTATTTATTCCAACTTTTATTGTAAGACATTTAGATCTAATTTTTTATATTATGAGCGAAACTGTTATGAACATAGTCACAATTAAATTTTCTATAGAATAATTTACATTTATTGAGCTCTTACGTGCTATATACTATTCTAAGTATTTCATATCCATTAACCCAGTTAATACAACCACCCTGAATGGTGTTTCCCACCCCACCCCCCAACCCCCCACCTCCATTTTACAGAGAAGGAAATTTGAGAGTTAAAAAGGCTGTTACTTGCCCAAGGTCACACCTTCAATAAGCAGTTGAACCAAGATTCAAACCCAAACTAAGAACTCTAGAACCAAACTCCAAAACACTATACTGAATTGCTAGATTATTTCCTTATATCCTGGAATTTGTAGATCAAAGCTTTACTTTTAACATTTTTATCCCCGAAGGTTTAACCAATTTATATCCTACCAACAAAATATAGAGGTTTTAGGTTTTTTTTAAAATAACCGTCAATAGTTGGATTTTTAATCACAAATTTTCAAACTTAATTTCTTAAAGATCCTAGAGCAGATATGTACATTGTCCTGTTATAACTATGTAAATGAATACTTTGCTAAGATTTAAAAGATTTTATACACATCTCATTTATTAAATTTTTATGGGAAGCTGATTTTTTAAATTATTTATTTTCTGTTAAGCTAGCAACATGAGAAACACTGAAGGTTTAGATAAAGCTAGAAGAGGAAGAACTGAAGTGTATTGATATGTGGCTGGATACAGTGCAGATTTTGAAACCCTGAAAAAGTTTTGAACTCCCTCAGTAAGATAGTAAAATAGATTTGTGTTGTAGTGGTTAAGGTCAGTATAGCCCAGTGTGTCAGAGTACAGACTCTGGAGCCAGAGTGTCTGGATATGAATCCTAATTCTGACACTTACTGGCTCTGTGACCTGTGACCTTGGGCAAGTGACTTAATCTCTCTATGCATCAATTTTACGATTGTAAAGTGAGGATGACAATAGCATCTAACTCATAAGGTATTATGATGATTAAATGAATTTAGAACTGTGTCCCAGTCCACATATGAAAGTACTGTATGTGTGTTAGCTTGTTACCTGTAAGCATCTTCCAATCCCAGATTTTCTTTAAGAAAATCTGCAACTTGAAGTAGTAGCAGTATTTGTTTAAAATCTTCAAATAGGGGGGCGCCTGGGTGGCTCAGTCAGTTAAGCATCTGCCTTCTGCTCAGGTCATGATCCCAGAGTCCCGGGATTGAGCCCCACATTGGACTCCCTGCCCAGCAGGGAGTCTGCTTCTCTCTCTGCCCCTCACCCCACTTGAGCACTCGCTCTTGCTCTCTCTCAAATAAATAAATAAAATCTTAAAAAAAATAAAATCTTTAGGTAATTCAAAAAATGGATATTTGACAGTATCTAACTTGTATCCTAAACAAATTATCTGCAGCAATGCAACACCTAATTAGATGACCATTTTTTTGTCAATAGCCATTTAAAAATAAAATGCCCCATCCTTTCATGCCATCCTTACATATTATTTTGGCTTGGTGATGACAGGTGATAATTGGAGAGATTATGTTGGAGAAAAAAAATCATGGTAGCAAACAAGAGTTTACAGGCCTTACGTGGTACTGAGAGTGATGGCAAGAAAGGTTTTTGAACTTCTGTGATGTGATGTCCAGCTTAATATCATTTTAGATTTGGTGTGGTATTTGAGCAAGTTTGTGCAGGCTCACAGGACTTCCCATTTTCCCATTAGTGAATTTTCCATTTATTTTGTGGATGTGTTGGTTTTTGATTCAAAGTAAATTGACAGTGTCATTAGAACCATTTCTAGGTTTTATTAGTTAATCAAGGTGTTCAAGGTAGAGTTACTGCATTGAAACTGAAACCAGAGATAGGAGTTTCTGCTTTTCCTTATCCTGAAACATTGGTCCCAGTATTGTCAGAAAGCATTTATTCTCTCCTAAAAGAAGAAAGAAGAATGTAACATAGTATGAACAGAAATGGACTCCATCTAAACTACAGATTTGAACTCCAGATTATGTGTTTTAGACAAGTTCCTTGACTCTTTGTGCCTCAGTTTCCTCATTCATGAAATAGGAATAAAGTAGTACTTTATTTCATAGGCTTTTGTGAAGATTCAATGAAATTTTTTTTTTTAATTTGACAGAGAGGGGTAGAGAGAGAGAGAGTACAAGGAGGGGGAGCGGCAGGCAGAGGGAGAGGGAGAAGCAGGCTCCCCGCTGAGCAGGGAGCTGGATGTAGGACTCAATCCCAGGACCCTGGGAGCATGACCTGAGCCGAAGGCAGACGCTTAACAGTCTGTGCCACCCAGGCACCCCCATTGAATTAATATTTTTAAATAACTTTGGATAGAGTCTGGTACACAGTAAGTGGTTTATAAATGCTAGCTATACATTTGGTTAACTGTGCTTCATCAGTCCTTTTTATGTGTATTTAATGTCTGAGGAAGAATTTTTCTTTTTTTCAGTTGTATTGAAATATAATTGACATTCAGCAAGGAAGAACTTTTTTATTTTTATTTTTGCCCAGTGTTTAAGCTCCTCCTAAATTCTTTTAAGAAATATTAAGCAATGGGTTGTGGTTTATATCTATTTATAATCTTTGTTTCCATCAACTATAAGGTAGTAAAAGCAAATTTAGTTCTTTGGAGCAGATGTACAATGACTTCTTACCTTTCAGAAAATTTAAAATAGACATGCAATATAGGAAACTTATGTTCATGTCTGTCTAATGTATATATAAAGAATCAGGAAGTGGTTAGGATTAAATTATTGATGTGTTGATAATACCCAGCAATAGTTATGTAGCTGACTCTTGTTTTTGAAGATTAGGTAGCTTGAATGAAAGTCATCTACTAGGTTTCTAAGCCAGGGAAACAAAGAAAAACCAATCTAATGGATATGATATGTGTGTTGAATCTTTCCTCAAATTCCTACATGATTTTTGTACCAGGCTTACAGCTTTGGCCTCAAAAGGAATATCCCCCACCCTCCCATTAAGCTTATAGAAAGAGTTTTAACTTTGGACTGTAAGCCTTAAATGATTTGAACTTTGATTGATTTAAAGGAGAAGCATATTTTAGAGCCAAAAGAGAACTTAAAAGTACTCAGGTGGTTCAAAAATGCTAGTCAGGGTGCTCTGATTCACAAGCTAGCTTTTTGGCAAATTTGGGACCATCTCCTCAGTTTTTTTTTTTTAATATTTTATTTATTTATTTATTTGAGAGAGAGAATGAGATAGAGCATGAGAGGGGGGAGGGTCAGAGGGAGAAGCAGACTCCCTGCTCAGCAGGGAGCCCGATGTGGGACTCAATCCTGGGACTCCAGGATCATGACCTGAGCCAAAGGCAGTCGCTTAACCAACTAAGCCACCCAGACACCCCATCTCCTCAGTTTTTGACTCATTGAGAGTATTAAACTCTTTGCAAATGGTTCTTGTTTTACAACCTTTTAAGAATGTCAGTATTTGATCTAGCAAGGTTATTTAGAAAAATAGAGTTATAGGGATGCCTCGGTGGCTCAGTCAGCTAACCGTGTGCCTTCAGCTCAGGTCATGATCCCAGGGTCTTGCGATCGAGTCCTGCGTTGGGCTCCTTGCTCACCAGGGAGCCTGCTTCTCCCTCTGCCTGCCGCTCCCCCTGCTTGTGTGTGCTCTCTCTCTCTCCCTACCTGACAAGTAAATAAATAAAACCTTTTTTTTTAAAAAGGAGAGTTACTAACTAAGCAAGTAATTAAATCATGTACCTAATCCCCCCCCAAAAAAAGGTATCTGAAAGTATGTTTTTGTCATGTAAACCACAATATGGGTACTTTATTTATAAGTTAAACATTTAAAGTATTTCCAGAACAATGGTTCCTCCTACTTTCTTTTTCACTGAACCTTGTATATAAAAAGCTTCAGAAAACCCTCTTTTAGTTTTGATATCCATGGTTCTTTTCCTCCAGAGCTCCATAACTTTTACTGTTATCTCTAAGTCCCTGTTTTTTATTTTAGAATATTTGTTTTGGTTTCTACCATATCCAATGGTCATGTAGTTCCCTTCTTATCATCACAAAGGTTATCATTGAGGGTTTTTTGTTATCTTTACAAATTGGTTATTAGGAACTGGAGTTGGGGCCTATCGGTAGAAGGTCTTTTATTTATATATTTGTACACACCTCAGAAACTAAACGTCTAGTTTGCCTACATTCATAATATCCACTTGACTTTTATATACATGCTTTTTTTTTTTAAGATTTATTTATTTGAGAGAGAGTGTGCACAAGAGGGGTAAGGGGAGAGGGAGAGAGAATCTCAAGCAGACTGTGCTGAGCACGGAGCCTGACATGGGGCTTGATTCCATGACCCTGAGGTCATGACCTGAGCCAAAACCAAGAGTCAGTCACTCAACTGACTAAGCCACCCAGGCACCCCTATACATCCATTCTTTTGATGCAAAAGTATTAAAACATTTATAAAAATAAAATGCCAACACAGCAATGAGCATAATTGAATGTCCTAAGCACAATTTAACATACTACTTTGCTGGAGACACATGAAAAATGTTTAAGAAAGCAAGAAAAATTTCTAGATGAGGAGTCAACATACTGCATCATTGTTCATAATAACCCCACCCCCAAAAAAGGAAATAATCCAAGTGTCTATTAGTAGAGGAATGATTAAAATAAACGGTGTGGTTCATTTATTAATGAAATAATACCCAGTAGTTCAGATGAAGAAATTAGATCTCTATCAACTTTACTAATTATCCCAAAAACATATTAATGGGTTAAAAAAAGCAAGCCATAAAAGCATATATTCAGCATCTCACCATTTATGTTAAATTAAAAAGTGCACAAAAGAATAATATATACTTATAGATGTAGTAGAAAGTTTTTAAATGCATGTGAATGAAATGCACTAACTCCAGTCTAGTAGTTAACTCTGGAGGACAGAAAGGGATGGAAGATGAGGCTTTAGCTAAACCTGTAATTTTTTTGTTTCTTTATGAATTAAAACATTTGAAGCAAATATGTTAAATTATTAAACCTTTGTTAAATCTAAGGGATGAGTATATAGGTGTTTGTTATAGTAGTCTCTTAATAATTAAAAATATTTCTTGGGGCTCCTGGGTGGCTCAGGTAGTTAAGCATCCAGCTCTTGATTTCTGCTCAGGTTTGTGATCTCAGTGTCATGGGATCCAGCCCTGCATCCAGCTCTGTGCTCAGCATGGAGTCTGCTTCAGATTTCCTCTGTCCTTCTCCCTCTGCCCCTCCCTGTGTGCACTCACACGTACTCGCTCTCTCAAGTAAATAAATAAATAAATAAAATCTTTTAAAACTATTTCTTAAAGTAAATTAATTTTCTCTATATATTTGTCTTCAGTGCTGTGAATTGGTCCCCACACACTGGCTCGTGTGGGTACTCCATCATGTGTGCACAAATACATCCTCTCACATTCATTCAACAAATATTTTTTAAGCATTTCTACATAACAGGCGCTGTTTTCGGTGCTACAGATACAGCAGTGAACAAAACAAAGCCCTTACCATCATAAAACCTATATTCTAGTGGTGGGAAGCAGATAATAAGTAAGAAAATATACAATATGCCACATAGTAGTAAGTGCTATGGAGGAGAAAAAAGCAAGATGGGATGATCAGGGGGACTGGGTAGGGTAGAGGGAAGATTGCTATTGCATAAGATGTTGAAGGAAGGGCTCTCTAATGAAGTGACCTTTGAGTTGAGACCTAAAAGAGGTGAGGAGGGAGTGTGCCGTGTGCATGTATCTGTCACCATCTAATGTCAAGTAGTGAATCTCCCAAGTTAAGTCTCCACTTCAAACCTCTCGCCTTATTTCCATTTGATTCTTCGCTTTGGATGTTTAATAGATGTTTCAAACCTATCATATCTAAAAGTGAACTCCTTTTCTTCACCCCCCAGTCTGCTTTACCCACAGTTTCCCCATCTCAGTTGCGCTGGGACTAGAAATTTGAGACTCCTTTGGGAGAAGCTGTTATAGAAAACAATGGGACTGAATGAATGAGATCATTTACAGTAAGAAAAGGAGAGATGGCATTCAATGATCAGGAAAAGAGAGAGGAGGAGACTGAGGAGTGGCCAGAGATTTGGTGGGGAGGTGCCAGGAGAATGTGATGCCTCAAAAGATGAGAACATGTTTCAGGGAGTCGTTAGTAGTATCCAAATCTGCTGAGGTTAAATGAGAGGAAGACTAGGAAACAACTGTTAGACTTGGCATCATTAAAGTTGTTCAAGTGTTCTCTTAAGGAAGGATGGGATTAACACCTGACTGGGAATGGATTCCGGAGCGAATGGGAAACAAGGAAATGGATATAGCAAATTCTAACTCTTCAGTTTTGGTATAAAGAGCTGGAGAAAGATCTGGCAATATTGGAAAGAGGTTGTGGAATCTAAAGACAGGTATACCCATGAGTAGATATTTCTTGATCATTTCTGCCCAAAGTTTGGAGTTAGAATAAAATCTAAATTGTTATGGCTTAGTTATTTTAAAGGGTCATATTATTGCTGTTACAAGGGGCAAGCAACATTAAATATCACTTCTGAGAGAAAAGTAGGCAAAAACTGCAATAAAATACTGGTAAAATAACCAACTAAAAATACCTAACAGAAATCTGTTACTACATCTTAGATAATATATACTGGAGATATCAAAGAGATGCCATTTTATTAAGTTACTACCTTTTAAAATTAAATTATATTTCCTTTTTTTTAATTCAGTGGGGATCTGCAGTATACTTATGTTATAAAAAATCAGTGGCAAAGACTAACACTATATCCTACAAAGCTGGTAAGTATAATTTTTCATGGAATACTTAATATAGATATGTATTATGAGGGCCAGTAAAATTTAAGGAAAAAACCCCTGTCTTACGATGTGTTAGTGTCGGGACTGGGACCACAACCCATGTCTTTTTTTTTTTTTTCCTGTTTTATCTTATCTTTACATTTATTGGGTACTTAACGGAAGATTGATTTTAAAAAGGAGCTGCCCTAACCATGACAAGTATTCCAAAAAATTAGTATATTCATGTGCTTCAAGGTAGTGTGACCACAAACTGAAGTTTTAGGATTGTTTGTATTTGTGTATGTTTCTTCAGAATAATCTTTCCTTGTTTGTCTTACTTAGCCTTCATGGATGAAGCTTGATGAATATTAATTAGTTATTATGAATAGTTATAATGTTTGAGGATTAAAATCTTAGATGTATCCTACTGAAGCATTCAGTTATTTGATGAACATATATGTAATGTAATGTTACTAAATATGTTAAATAATAAGGCATTTTAGCATCATTCATATTATGAGCACCTAAGTTCAAGAGCTGATGACCTAATATTTATTATTGTTTTTATAGGTCTAATTTGTAGATATCCTCAAGAAGATTATGAATCTTTCTCACTCCCAGAATCTGTTCCCCTATTTTGTTTACCAATGGGTGCAACTATTGAATGCTGGCCACCAAATAGCAAATACCCTCTCCCTGTATTTTCTACATTTGTTTTAACTGGAGCCTCAGCTGAAAAGGTACTGTGTGTTTTAACTAGTATCAACAAATTTCTTGTATCTTATCAAGTCTTAAGTTTTATATAATGTAAGCAACAGTAGAAATAACTGGTTAAATTGAATCTATTATACATACTTCTTCCACTTGATTAAAATAACTATATACAGAGATAAAGGAAAAGAGAATTTTCATTCTGTCCCATATACCCAATGCTTTTTTGTGAATATGGTGAAAGATTTTCTTCATCATCAAATGGTGATCCCTTTACTGCTTCACTTTCTGTGATACAGAAGCTTTGAGAGTAATATAAAAGACATTATTAAATATGCAAAGCTATTTGGAATTATAGATTACTATAGTTAGAAAGGACCTTGGAAATCATCTAGTCTAACATCCTCATTTTATAGATTGGGAAATTGAGGTCCAGAGAAATTTAGTGAATTGCCTGAAGCTGGAATATATATTTCCTTATATAAAATTCTGTCTCACTCTCTACTACATAATTATTTTCAGTTACTTTCTTTTTTTTTCTTTTTTAAAGATTTCATTTATTTATTTATTTGACAGAGAGAGAGAGAGCACAAGCAGGGGGAGCTGCAGGCAGAGGGAGAAGCAGACTCCCCACTGAGCAGGGAACCCGATCTGGGGCTCGATCCCAGGACCCTGGGATCATGACCTGAGCCGAAGGCAGACGCTTAACAACTGAGCCACCCAGGCGCCTTTTCAGTAACTTTTTTGTAGAGAATATTGATACAGTTGCTTTCAGTCTTCAGAAAACAAACTCAGTTTAATTAAAACACGTTTTTTGGCGGGGGGGTACCTGGGTGGCTCAGTTGTTAAGCATCTGCCTTTGGCTTAGGTTATGATCCCAGGATCCTGGGATCGAGCCCCGCATCAGGCTCCCTGCTACGATGGAAGCCTGCTTTTCCCTCTCCCACTCTCCCTGCTTGTGTTCCCTCTCTCGCGGTCTCTCTCTCTCTCTGTCAAAATAAATAAAATCTTTAAAAAAAAATTTTTTTAAAACACCTTTTTTTTCCAATAATGATATGTGAGAGTAGCACTGTGTAGTTTGTGTGTGTGTGTGTGTGTGTGTGTGTGTGTGTGTGTGTGTGTGTGTGTGTGTTTTAATGTACTGCAAGAAAGCAACAGTGATGTTTGCTCACTGCTGTGTTCCTGGTACCTGGCACCTTCCCTGGCTCGTAGGCATGTAAATGGCTCATAATGGTCTAGCTCATAATGGCTCATCCATTAAAGATTTAATTATGTGATTTGAATAAATGATGTAAGGTGTATTTATTAAATGTATTACTTGTTTTCCAGGTCTATGGTGCTGCTATTCAGTTTTATGAACCATACTCTGAGGAGAATCTCACAGAAAAACAGAGACTTCTTTTGGGTTTAACATCATCAGCAGATGGGAAATCTGATCATTCCAAAACAATTCACACTAATAAGTGCATCTGTCTTCTTTCTCACTGGCCTTTTTTTGATGCATTCAGGAAGTTTTTGACTTTTCTGTATCGTTATTCTATCTCTGGACCTCATGTCCTTCCAATTGAGAAGTAAGTTAGAGAAGCCTTCTTCACTCAAAGTTTGGTAGATCTTTCCATTATGTGTGGTATGTTTGTAATGGTAATTCAGTAAATTTTATGTGGAAACTAGGTTTTTTAAGAGTTATTTGAAAAAAAAGTTTAGTTATTTCAATCAGGTCATATTTCTCTATTATACTTTTATAGTCATGTTACTTTATTTTATTTTTATTTTGTTTTAAAGTTTATTTATGTATTTAGTGATCTCTGCACCCAACATGGGTCTCAAACTCATGACCCCAAGATCCAGAGTTGTGTGCTCTTCTGACTGAGCCAGCCAGGCGCCCCACAGTCATATTTTAAGTGATTTTTATCTCTTAACAAAATGAAATGAATGTCTCATTTTTGAAGTTCTTATGAAGTTTGGAGATCCTATTTGGCAATTTTTAATTAGTTTTGTAATTCTTATTTTTCAAATAATTTGGGTTTATTATGAACTTTTAAAAAAAATATTCCCTACTATTTTTAGATATCATGAATTTAAAGAAAAATTAGATAAACACATTCTTTATTCTTTTTAAAATTTCTGTGATTCACTTTTTTTTTTTTGAAAGTTTTTATTTATTTATTTGACAGAGAGTGAGAGAGCACAAGCAGGGGAAGCAGCAGGCAGAGGGAGAGGGAGAAGCACGCTCCCCGCTGAACAGAGAGCCCGATGTGGGGCTCGATCCCAGGACCCTGGGATCATGACTTGAGCTGAAGGCAGCCGCTTAACCGACTAAGCCACCCAGGCGCCCCTCAGTGATTTACTTTAAAATCACTAAAACTGAATAACGTTTTATGCAGTAAAATTTGTTGCAAGTGAGATCTAAATATCTTCTTGTCTATTTGACTATTGTTTATTTTGTACCATCTGTTACTTAAACTCTTTTGTATTCTTAAGCAGAATTCTCTGACCCCCGTGACATTTGGGAAGTGAGAGAATTATCATAAGAACATTCAGTGTACAATATTACTCTAATTTTTTCTTATATATATATTTTTTTACTCTCCTCTCAGTATTCTACTCTAGCAGTTAGCAGATTTTTTGGTCTCCGAACCCATTTATACTCTTAAAAAATGAGGACCCCCAAAGAGCTTTTCTTCATGTGTTTTATCTGCCAATATTTACTACAATAGAAATTAAAATGGAGAAAATATTTAATAATATACCAAAATAATTACATGTTAACAAGTATCTTTTTTTGAAAAATAACTTCTCAAAAAAAATTAGTGAGAAGAGTAACATTGTCTGACATTTTTGCAAATCTCTAGTGTCTGGCCTAACTGAACACATCAAGGTTCTCATACATGCTTCTGCATTCAGTCTATCACAATATGTTGTTTGGGTGAAAGTATATGAAAAAAACCTGGCCTCACACAAGTATGTAGGTGGAAAAGGGAGAGCATTTGAAAAGCCTTTTAAGATTATTGTGTGGATTTTCTGTTTTGATATTGCACCAAAACTTGACAAAAGGTTTTTCACAGTGTGCAATCTAAAACCTTAGTAATGAACTTTCTCTGTTGGTTTTCCTCACTCTAGGTGGAACTTTTACACACATATGATTTTTGCATCATCATACACTGGTCGTTTAGAAAATACTGGTTCATGGAGTTAACATAGATAAATTTTATTATCAATGTAAAAAAATCACATTTGTTAATATCACCACCTATTTCATCAGAAAAATTTTTTTAGTATTGAGAAGTTATCAAGTACATGGTGACAAAATTCTGATTTTCACTTAAAATTTAATTTGTTTATTGAATTAAAATTGAAGTTAATTATGGGCAATAATACTATGAGTTATTTTTCTTTTTCTTTTTTCTTTAAAGATTTTATTTTTAAGTAATCTCTACACCCAACGTGGGGGACAAACTCACAACCCCGAGATCAAGAGTCACACTTTCCACCAACTGAGCCAGCCAGACACCCCTATGAGTTATTTTTCTTGAAGCAATAGGTCACCTTACTCATTTCTATATAGGAGATACTTGCTGGCTACCCAACATTGGATAACCTTAATTTGTCACTTGTTCTTCCAAGGAAAAATGACATTCTGTGAGAAGAACAAAATAAGAATTAGGTTCTTTGGTACTGTCCCTATAACATGTTATACATTATCTCCTTAGGGAGAGGTAAAAGTTAAAATGGCTTTTGAGACATTGATAACATAAACATTGTTGAATGTGAGGAACTGTTAATATGAAAAGTTATTGGATTTAGGTAGAAGCAACTTTAATGTGACAAATGATTTCTGGTGTTATTTGTTCACTTGTTTTTGTAGTAGCAGGGATTTCGAAATTATAAGTACACAGAGCATTTGACTCAACTCGGACTTGTGGTGACACGTTGACCTTTATAGTATATGGTATTCACTTTGGAATCAATTGGGTTCTTGTCTGTTTGTTTTTAAGGCATATTTCTCATTTTATGCATAAAGTTCCTTTTCCATCTCCTCAGAGACCACGGATTTTAGTTCAGGTATGATTTTCTTGATATAAGTGCCCTATTAAATCATTATTGGCTCTGTCAAAATGTACCATAAGAATAACAATTTTAAATGGAGGGAAAGAACAAATGTGGTCAAAAGAATCAGATAGTAGTTCATGTTGGAGTTTGGGCCCTTAGTGTTTTATTAACTGCCTCCCAGGCAGACATCTAATGTTTCCCCTTAGGTAAAAGGTTGAAGAGTTAAAGTAGTTGGCAGTAGACATTTTGAACATACAAAAAGGGACTTCTTTCCCCCAAATTTGTTCTAAGTATTTGAAAGTTTGTCTTTGCCTTTGGCATTTATTCCCGAAGTTTATTAGAATAGATATAAGGAAAAGGTGTGTGTTTTTTCATGTATTATGCAGGAAGGGAAGGTTCATATCTTTGTGGTGGGAAAGTTCAAAATGAACATAAATTATTTTCCCTATATCTTGTCCCAATTGACTGTATCTTTTCTCTTTTGTTTACATTTCTTTTTTGTTTGTGCTCTTGATCTCTAAGATGTCTGCCTATTTAATCACCATTTACAAAGTGATTTATATAAAGAAAATATTTTTATGTATTATCACTATATATGCCTTATTGTATTTATCACAGCCCTTAATGGGGGTGGGGTATCATTCAAAATTAGAAGTATTTGGCAAATAGGTATTTACAAATTTGTGGAAATATGCATAAATATGCATAAATTTAAGTATGTAGATAAAACAATTGCACTATTATATTGATACAGATTAAAAAATCTAGAAAAAATATCATTTTTAATAATCTTTATAATCAGTCTGTATTATCCACATGTTTTCTTGGTATTTAGTGCCAGAATATATATATATATAGCAGATTCAGTTTGAATACACATAAAAGATTTCTTTTATGTTGTTGGCAATTTTTTTCTATTGAGGACCAAACAGTAAATATTTTAGTCTTTATAGGCCATGCCATCTCTGTCAAAACTACTCAGCTTTTATTGTGCAAAAACAGCTATAGATCATACCCAAATGAATGAGCATGGCTAGTGTTCTAATAAAACTTTATTTATAAAAACAGGTGGCCTGTGGATTTGCCCTGGAGACCATAGGTTTGCTAACCCTGATTTTGGGGTATTAAATGAATAATTTAGTCTTTCAATAAAATTTTATTAAAGTGGCATCAGGGGAAAAGAGAATTCAGAGTAGGAAGTTAGTAGTTAGAAGAGATCAGTGGTTAGGACGTGCTTTTCAGGATCTCACTAAGTGATATAAACAGTTCCTATACTGGTTAATGCATATATTGAAACTTCATGAACATCATAATTAGCCTATATATATATATATTATTTTTTACCAGAAAGTAGTGTTTTAAAGCTCATCTTTATGTTTCAAACACTTTATTGTAAATTTTCTTCCAGTTATCACCACATGATAATCTGATTCTCAGTCAACCTGTTTCTTCACCTCTTCCACTAAGGCAAGTAGAAGTTCATTTCTACTTAGTTTCTCCAAATCCAGTGTGAGCTAAAGTGACATTCAAATACTTTCTCTTTCCTAGGTAAAATTTCAAATATTGATGGAAATACTTCTCATTTAACTGTTTCTTACCTAAATTCCTTTTACTTAAAGGAAAAAGGAAAACCTTTACAATAGTTTGGTATTTTGTGTATCCATTTATTATCAAGTACTTACTATTACATAAGTAGGTGTATATAGAGAGTTTGAGTATGAAAACAATTATTTTTAGCTTTAAAAACCCTCTGAACAGCATTCAAATGCAATTAATTTTAAATTTAACACACAAATAAAAAGATACTCCTAAATACTAACCATGAATAAAACAAGATAGTTCATCACTTAGAAGTTAAGAGAAATTATGAAATATGTTTTTTCTAAAGTATCACTTCTTGAAATGTAATTAGCTATGTAATTTTCTAGCAGAGAAATAGTTACAATATAATTGTTATTTTGTAGCACATACCTAAGGGAGACCAGCTACCATCTTTGACATTAATTTTGTAAGAATTGCAGATTATTTCATCACTAGGTCTTGGTCCAGAGTGACCAGTGTTTTCCTAACCTTTGTTTGAGCTGAAAATAAACTAGAAATACTGACTGAGACTATGTATAAAATGATCCTAAACTACCCAAGAGGCTTTTTTTTTTTTGGTAACAACTTTATTGATATAATTCACATGCTGTACAATTCACCCAGTTAAATTGTACAATTCAGTGGTAGAGATATAGAGAGATCATTGTAATCAATTTTAGACCATTTACGTCACTCTAAAAGAGAAACCCTGTGCCTTTTAGCAGTTACCCCGCCCCCCCCATTTCTCCCATTTCTACACACACACACACACGCACACACACACGCTCCCCAGCCCAGGGCAACCATGAATCTACTTTCTGTCTCTACAGATTTGCGCAGATTTGCCTATTCTGGATATTTCATATAAATGGAATCATATAATATGTGACCTTTTGGGTTTGGCTTCTTTACTTAATAATAGTGTGTCCAAAGTTCATCCATGTTGTATCATCATTACTTTATTCTTTCTGTTTCCAACAAATATTCCATTATATGGATAGACCACATTTTATTTATTCATTTATCAGTTGATGGACATTTGGCTTGTTTCTACTTTTTGACTACAATAAATAATGTTGCTCTGAACATGCACAAGTTTTTTGTGGACATGTTTCCATTTCTCCAAAAAACTTGTTAATAGTTTTGCTTTATTTAAAAAAAGTTAATTCTGGTGAAGCCAGTTATTTAGCATTATAAAGACAACATACTGATTGGCTTACTGCATTACTTACTTTGTCAGTTCAGTATTTTGTTACCACACAGAATGTCTCAGTTTGGGTTATTAATTTGCTTTGTATGTATATACCATCACTTGACTTGGTAGCTCTTGATTTCATATTACTATTATCATTACATTACTAAAGATAATCTATTTGTAAATCCAAATTTTAATATGTATATTTACCTTAAGGGAAGTAGACCTGTAAGTCATGTATTTTTTTCTGATAATTACCATAAAAGATGAGCAATTAAAAAACAAACTTCCATTGAACAAATTTGCTTTCAACCAAAGCATCCCTCTTATAGATTGAATCCTTTATTTGGACATTATCTACATAGCAGATCTTTTTCTGAAAAGAAAAATGACTTTTCATTTTCCATATTGAATACAATGCAGAAAAATCGAATAATTTTGAAACTTCAGAAAACTTCATTGTTTTTGTAACATGTTTCTGATGAGTGTTTTCCACACATAAGCGCAGCAGTCACATTTAAAGTTGAATAAATAATATAATCCTACCCTGATCATGACCTTTTTTCATTATTTTGGATAATGAGGCATTTGAATATTTTTAATTGTATTTTTTTTTTTTTTTTGGATTGACAGTGGTGGCAAGTTTTCAACACTACTTCAAAATTTAGGCCCTGAAAATGCTGTCACACTACTGGTTTTTGCAGTAACAGAACATAAGATTCTCATCCATTCCTTACGGCCTTCCGTGCTTACTAGTGTGACAGAAGCATTAGTGTCTGTGAGTATCAGAGTTCTTACTGGCAATCAATTTCGTTTTAAACCTAATTCATTTAATTTAAAGCTACTTTAAGACTTAGCTAAAATTCAGAGAGTAATGAATTTTTATGTTGTGAAAAAATGTTAATTTTCTGACCATTAATATTAGTTATAATTATTTAATTTGTTGTCAAATGTTAGACTTTAGGTATGAATATTTAAAAGACAGTTTTATGTGTATGCTGATAAATTATGCTTCAGTGTCAAACACTTGAATATTTTCCTATCTTTTGTTTATCCAAGATGATTTTCCCTTTCCACTGGCCATGCCCGTATGTTCCTCTCTGCCCACTGGCTTTAGCAGATGTCTTGAGTGCACCATGTCCATTCATAGTAGGAATTGACTCAAGATATTTTGATCTCTATGACCCTCCACCAGATGTTAGTTGTGTTGACCTAGATACCAACACCATTTCTCAGTAAGTACATTTTAGTGATTCTATACCCAATAATTTACAACTTCATAGTATATGTATGTAATGGTATATTTTATGAATGCTAATTAGAAATTCCTTTGAGCTGTATTGTTTTTATATTTGGGGTTATTACCATTTTGAATCAACTCGTACTATTCTTTTTTTTTAAGATTTTATTTATTTTAGAGAGAGAGAATGAGAGTGCGAGAGCTGAGGAAGGGGCAGAAGGAGAGGGAGAGAAGCTCAAGCAGACTCCATGCTGAGCGCAGAGCCCAACATGGAGCTCGATCTCACCACCCTGAGATCGTGACCTGAACCAAAATCAAGAGTCAGATGCTTAACCAACTGAGCCACCCAGACACCCCCAACTTGTACTGTTCAGTGGGATAAATTTAGGGTATTAGAGAGGTTTTACTGTAAAGAAAATATATATTTAATCCTCAGATCTTTAAATATTTAAGAAGCATTATTATAATCTTAGAAATTTGGCAGAAGGGAAATTGAGGTTAGAAATAGAAAAATTTATTTTCCATTTTCCAGATGAGTGGGGGTGAAATCACAAATTGAATTTTAATACTTGGTATTTCAATTCTATTTCTAGTCTTGTGTAATACTATTAGAATGCTAATACTTCAAAAAAATTTATATACTGCTTTAAAATTTCTAAATAACTTTTAAATTATACATGATTTTATCACCTTTATACTTGAGGAATATTAGGACTTTATAAGTTTCCCTCTCTTTTTATTGTAATAATATTTAAGTTGTAGCTACTGGAGCTATAAAAAACTTAGTTTTTTTTTTAATTCAGTTCTCTTGTACTGTTTATTTTCAACTTAATCATACTTAAGCTATTCAGGGAAGAGGAAATTGATCCAATGACCACATTGCATTCACAGGACATACTTAAAATAAGTCTATCAGTAAAGCCCAAAAGCTGGTACACCTTTTACAACTTAAATATGTGTATATGCAATAGATGTTTTTCCATTTTTAATAAGCATATTTCCATATTAAAGCCTTTCGATTTAATACTATAATCTTATATTAATTCTAATCTTGTCATATGTCAAAACCTCAAGTGCCTAAACCACTAGAAGAAATGGTTTTCTGTTACAGAAAAAATAATATATAATATAAAAAATATATAAAATGATAAATGATATATTATAGCAAAAGAATACTTTTCTTTTATAAAGCATATATGCTGTCAAAAAGCTTTTTTTCAGACAACACTTAACCAAGAAAATATGGGATATACTTTGTGCATAAAAGCCATTTTATATATGGGGTTTACAGAATCAAAGATTCTTTACCAGGAACATGTCATTCATTACCAGGAATATTTAATTCTTTAAATGTTAAAGTAATATCTCTTTTCTTTGCCAGTTGTTACGTGACACAATGCTTTTAAAAATTGAAATTAAGGGTGGTGAATTAGTATATACTGTATTTATTATGGTAATAAATTACATTACCCTCTTCTTATACTTTCCAGTTTGTTAAAAGAATTTTTTTAATTTTATGTTTTTGTTTTGATCACCGATGAGTTAATCAAAGAAAACATGAGTCATTTGCACTCCTCAGTTGTCTTCCTTCTTGTTATTATCGCCCACAGAAGGACTAAACTAGTGAACTAACAGCTTTCCACTTTCCTTCATCCAGAATTTCTGGAACCTCAATCTGAAATTTGAAAGAAAAACAAGTTCTGAATATGCAATTTGGGTTTCTTTTTCCCTCTCTTAGATACATAGAATACAGAGTATGTTATGCATGTCAATAAATTTTTGAAGAAAGGGAAATTAATATCTGGTATGTACTAGGCATAAAGATGTATGCATCGCCTATGTTGTCTCATCTTATTCTTTGTATTTTGTGAGGTAGTTTTTATTAACCCCTCTAACAGGTAAGGAAACCAGAGCTTAGATTTTTAAGTAATTTATCAGAAGGCACATACTGCCAGCTGACCATCACTGTCCAGCTCCAAACCCAGTACCTCTGCTATTTATGTAATAGTAATCTTGTAAATGGAAATCACTGTGAATAAAAATGCAGAAGGCCATCATAGAGGCAAACTCAGGTACTAAATAAGACTCTCCTACCCAGCCAAGTTTTAGAGTGAAGACATCAAGGGCAAGAGGAGGAAGTTAGTGAATAAATTACAGAAATTAGAGGTAATGCACAGATACCAAGATTCTCTTCATTTATGCTGCAGACATATCTTGAACTCCCTTTTTTGCTAGGCACCGGGAATAAAAAGGCAAACCAAGTACACTCCTTTCTCCTGTTGCTCATAATCTAGTTTTATAAGGCAGACATGCACAAAGTGAATGATGAGGTATAGTGGGAGTGTGTGTTGCAAAGTTTTACCAAGAAAAAATAATGTAAAAAGTGTTCTACATTGTCTTCTCATTGTAATGCAGGATTCTGTGCTCCTGGTCACATTATAAATGAAATATAACCTTCGCTGTAGGACATCTGCAATTGACCCTGTCCTCTCTGTATTTTTTCCTCATTTGTGGAAAAATAGGGTAGATTCTAAGACATTGGTTCTTTGTCAACCTGAGCTTTCCCCATCCATTCTTTTTTCTTTGTTTAGTTTCCAACGTGATAATTTTGCCCTTTTTGTTCTGTGGGAAGTACAGGGAAAAGAAAAAAAAAATTTCAACTTCCACTGCACACCTGGACTTTATTACTGTCTTTAGAACATGAGTGATTTACTTTTCTTCTTTTTCTCTCCATTTTTCAAGTTTTCTAAAAAAAAAAAAAAAAAAAAAGTATTCATGGCTTTTAAAGTACAAAAAAAAGATTTACTAAATAAAGAATGGAGGAGCGCCTGGGTGGCTCAGTCATTAAGCATCTGCCTTCAGCTCAGGTCATGATCCCAGGGTCCTGGGATCGAGCCCCGCATCGGGCTCCCTGCTTGGCAGGAAGCTTGCTTCACCCTCTCCCACTCCCCCTGCTTGTGTTCCCTCTCTCGCTGTGTCTCTCTCTGTCAAATAAATAAAATCTTTAAAAAAAAAAAAAAGGAATGTAATCAACAAAGCTATAGTTAAGTCCAAAAGCTTTATGGTGTTTTATCACTGTGTTCTTTTCTTCTCTTACCCCATGTATGGTTTGAAGAATGGCCATGTTACAGTAATTGTAATAAATGAGAGTATAGGAGTTTGTCTTTGAAACAAAGCTACCACTTTCAAGCAAATACCCTCTTTTATAGTTATGAAAGTGTTTTGGAATGTTATCCTTTATCCAAATAATTTAATATTATAGATTAGTTCTTTTCTGAAACAAAACCAAATTTTACTTTTACTTGTAGGAAACTAAGAAACTCAGTATTTAAATATACCAGGAATTTTGATAAGCTTTCTGGATATCAATTCATTTTTTCTATATGAGTTCAAGTTTTCCATAGTGCTTTTTCTTAGAGTCTATAAGAAAGAAACCTCCACTTGGTAAGATTGTCCCAATATTTAGATATCTAAAGTCTCTTAAATGAGGTTTTGAGTAATGACCACCATATCGTTTGTAGTGATTATTATGATTCCAGTGCAAGTGGAATTTACTCAGTACCAACATAATTATAAATTTTTTAAAAATTTTTTTAAAGTATTTTATTTATTAATTTGACAGAGAGAGAGCATGAGCAGGGGGGAGGCAGGCAGAGGGAGAGGGAGAAGCAGGCTCCCCGCTGAGCAGGGAGCCTCATGTGGGGCTCCATACCAGGACCCCAGGATCATGACCTAGCTGAAGGCAGACACTTAACCAACTGAGCCACCCAGGCGCCCCCATAATTATAAATTTTTGAGCTATATTTAATACACGGTTCTTCCCTCGTGTAAATTAATTTTTAAATATTCGGCATTCTAACTTACCCCTGTAGTATTTTTCTCCTATTAATTAGAATATTTTGTATGTGTTTTATTTTTTGTTCAATGAATCTCTCTTTTCCCTTTTTTATATATAGCAAAAAAAAAGTCCATCTAACAAATATATTATTGTTGTCATTTAATCTCAGAACTGGTGACAAGAAAAATGTAGCCTGGAAGATACTTCCAAAGAAACCATGTAAAAATCTGATGAACACACTGAATAATTTGCACCAGCAGTTGGCAAAATGTAAGTATATAACTTAATTAAAGGAAGTAATTTAATATGAAAAAGGACTCCAATTACTTCTCTTTACTTGTAAAAGGATACTGTTTATTTTATCTGAGGGAAATGTTCTTATAATCTTAAGGGTAAGTGAACATTGAAGCAAAATTTGTTAGAAGCTGAATAGGAAATTTATAAAATTTACACTTTATATCTACTACATTTTCATAGAACCATTTTAGAATAATAAAATTCAAAAAGTAGTTAAGGTGATTGTTTTCTTTCATTTTACCATTATTGAAATACCAGGGAAAAAATAAGAGTTTCCTCTCGTATATTTTCTTCATACATAGAAGTTTTGTTTTGAAAATTTAAGACAGATGGTTTAAATTAGAAAATGCTGATGATTTTAGTGGGGTGAGAGTTGGGTCATATGCTTTTCACCTTCCATGGATCTTAATGCTATGCTTACCTCAAATAATTTGAAAATAGAAGCTTGCCATATGCACTAGGAAATTAATCAAAATGAAAATTGATTAAGATGTGGAATACTTTAGAAAAAGCTTATATAAGAATACCTTGTCAGTGATCCAGAGATACAGATAAGAAGAATTAAACCTTCCTTTATTTAATCCTCTTGGTACTTACAACAATGGCTCATTCAGGGCCCATAAATTAATACTTATTGTATGAAAAATGGCCAGTGATGGTGTAGCAATATTTGAGGTTCTCAATTATGTGTTTATCATTTATCTAATCTTATTGGTATTTTATAACAATGGCTCATTCAGCGCCCATAATTTAATACTTACTAAATTATTGTGTGAAAAAATGGTCAGTAATGGTACAGCAATATTTGAGGTTCTTGTTTATGTATTAGGTGAAATGTAAACATAGGAAGGGGCCTACATCCTTGAGGGTTCAAAGTGCCTGTATAGTTGGAAATAGCATGGAAGAAGACAGTGTTTCCAAAGTAAACCTTACAATAAGCAGATAATTTGGAAGCAGCTCGTAAGGACTGGGATATGAAACCAGTGACGTCAAATAGAACAACATTTTATCTTATGGAACAAATAAGTTATGTATAGAATTTTACTTAAGCTAACTACTTAATTGCTTTCTAACAAGGCATGTACTTCTTTTAAATGGCTGAGAAGTCCAGCAGCTTTTGTAGCAATATTTAAAATATTATTAAAATCAATGAAATAGCCCATCCAGCTCAACTGAAGGGCAGAAACTTAAAACTATAAACTTTTAAACAGTACTGATAGTTAAGGATTGTGTAATACTTTACAGCTTCAGAACACTTTCACATACTTAAGTTGAGGGAGGTAAAATAGCTTGTCAGAGATCATACAGTTAACAAGGTTAAGTTAGGATTAAAATCTAGGCCTTCTATATCAATGCCCACATTCTTCCTAGTACTGTTACTTTTTTAGACAATAAGAACTCCAGAAAAAAACTAAGATGATTGATTGTTCCTCATATTTTAAAATTTTTTTAATTTTGAAACAATCACAAACATTTTCCCTGACTTTTGAGAATAGATGCCCATCACCTCCAAATGGAATATATTTCCTACCAAAAAATATGTTCTCCTGCATCAGTACAATATAACCATGAAAATCAGGAAATTAACATTGAGCATTACTGCCATCTTTATCCACAGACCAGATTCTAGTTTTGTCGGTTATGATAATAACATTCTTTATAGCAAAATAATCCATTTCCAAATCAGATGTTATAACTTAGTTTCAAGTCTCTTTAATCTCCTTTTCTCCAAACAGTTCCTTGATTTTTTCCTTCTTTTTCTTGATACTTTTGAAGATGATACTTACTGTCATAGAATGGTCCATGATGGGACCAAGGGTCCCATCCCTCTCTTACATCCCAAACAGAGATGTAACTGCTGTTTTGAGAAAAGCCAAATACATGGACAGAGAGTATGCCATGAGCATAGAGCATGCAACACATTGGGAGGGAAAAAGCAAGGTCCAAACCCTTGTCTGAGTATCCTCATGATAAATACAGGTCATACATCTATCGCAGAAGTGACACCATGTTCCTTTCCTAGCATCCTTACCAGATCAGGCACTACTTCAATTTGTCTCATAATTGACGAAGATGTTCACTTTGTGCACTTGATTAAGGTGGCGTCTACCAGACCTCTCTATTGTGAATTTATTATTTTACTACCTAAGGACTTTAGCATTGGATTGTTCAGGAAGAGGAAGAGCTGTTTTTCACATTCTAAGCCTTGCGTGCTTTTCCTGTAGGCACTTATATTTTTTAAAAGGGAGGGTGGGTGGGCAGAGATAGGGATAATGCATTTAACCCTGTATCCTGCTGATATGGTTGCTATGATTTCCATTTATTAGTTTATATATAGTTACTTCAGAACATGAATTTTTTTGATGGTAGATAAACAGGAATAATTCTATATTTACTTGGGTTAAAATACATGTAGCAGAGCCTAAAAAATGATGTAGCAAGCTTTGCTAGGGTTTACCTATTATGAAGTTGTATAAACACAGAGTTGAGGTAGCTTGAGCTCTTTTGAAAACAACACATTTATTTCTTTCAGTTGACATACAGGACTGTGTAAGTTTAAGGTATATAGCATAATGACTTGACTTACATATATAACAAATTTATATTGCTATCATTATGAACATTGGTTTCAAGAGTTTGGAGAAAACACTAACACTGATTTTCTTCACAGTGCAGCAGAGACCAAGAGATGATGGACTAATGGACTTAGCAATGAATGACTATGATTTTAATTCTGGAAAGAGGTTGCACATGATAGATTTGGAAATCCAAGAGGCGTTTCTGTGTTTCATGGCCTCTATTTTAAAAGGTTATAGATCATACTTAAGACCAATAACACAAGCCCCGTCTGAGACAGCCACAGATGCATCCTCTCTTTTTGCCCTACAAGGTAAGTGATTGTATAGTTTTATAGTTTTCATATTATTGAGTTTAACCTTATGATGATTCAGTTGTTTCCTGTGTTAATTAATAGCTCATGTTTATCAAAATACATACCTATTTTGGAAATATGTGAAGATCAACTTTGTTAGTAATCCATCTCCACAAAACTAGTTATTTCTCGGGCATATTAGTTATAATCCCATTAGCTAAATATTTGAAAAGCACAGAGCTTCCTAACCATGTAGGAATGTTGTATCACAGATGTGTTGAGATATTGATATTTTTAGCTTTCAGAGCAGCTAGGCAATGTTGGACACTCAGAGGAGCCCCTGGGATGGTCACTTCCAGGCATGAGCAGCCTCATTCATTTTACTTCAGTGTGCTTTATAAATACTACTTTCTGTTAGTTCCCCAAAGCAAAAGAAGTAGGAGAGCCCCGGAGTGCAGTTTCTGTCATAATACATATTTATTTTTCTTTTGTGGTATATAACATTTGCAAGAGAAATTCATTTAATATGCATATATTGAGTTCCTTTAAATACTAGGTATATAGTGGTATGCAAAAGGGACATGGTCACAAAAAAAGAGAGAGAAAGACATGGTCACTTCTCCCATTGAGCTTATAGTCAAGAAGATAAGCAATTTGAAAATAATATGAATGAACACTTTATTTCACAACTTCAGATCACAGAAAGCCCTTCTGAGGAATTTAGGTCTGAGCCATGATCTCAGGAATGAGTAGAAATTAGCCAGGCAAAAGAAAAGTAGAAGATGGTTTTAAGCAGAGAGAAGAGTTGGAAATAATTTGAGCATATGGGCCCAAAAGAAGGCCCAAATGTAGTGTAACTGACCATAGCAAGCAACGTGGAGCATGAAATCAGGAAATAAATTTTTACTCTGTTTCAGTAAGACACAGACACAAACAAATACTAGAAGAGGTGTAACTGCTGTTTTGAGAAAAGCCAAATACATGGACAGGGAGTATGCCATGAGCATAGAGCATGCAACACACTGGGAGGGAAAAAGCAATTTTAAAAATGCTTTCAGATTTACTACTTTATGTGTAATCTTCAAGGTAGTGAGGGGACCACAGAGACAATTCTGAGCGAGGATTTGAAAGATCTAGGTTCAAGTTCCTTTCCTATTGCTATCTTTGTCAGGTCCTGTCCCTTTTCAGGGATCTTAGTTTCTTTTTCTTCAAAGTGGCGGGTTGAGGGGGTATAGATAATGTGGTTAATCAAGTTTCTTCTGGATTAAAATTTAATGAATCTTTGAATGATGCTATATTTTGTGACATTATGAATTTATGTTGAACAGCTTTCTTAAGAAGCCGGGACCGGTCACATCAAAAATTCTATAGCATGATGACCAAAACACAAATGTTCATTCGCTTCATTGAGGAATGTTCTTTTGTCAGTGATAAAGATGCAAGCCTGGCATTTTTTGATGATTGTGTAGATAAGGTAAGTAATAGTATGTCTGTAGTGCCCTGACTTATTTTGTGTGATTGTTTTAAATGTTATGAGTTATAGTTTCTATTTAACTTTTATCAGCTTTTAACAAAACCTAAGTTCATTCCATTTCATCATTGACTCTTTATTATGAAAGTTCTGTTTGGGCTACTAGATATTATAGAGCACCTCTTAGGAGTACCTTGCAGGATTTTGCCAAATCATCAGTTTTATTTTAGCACTCAGGATCTGTAACCTTGCCTGCCTACTTACAGACTATGGGAGTTCTGTCCAAGTGTGTGGACCTCTAACCTGAACATCCTTAATTATCACCTCTCCTTTTTGAGGATTGCTACAAGCTGAGAGTAGGTGTAGAGCATAATGAATATTTCACTTGAATATTTTTACATTTTGGAAGTGAGTTTGTAGCTTAAATTAAGTGAATTAATTTTGCTATTTTAAATTCATGTGTGATACCTTCCCTTCCCCGTCAGTCCTAATATCATTAGGTGGGGTGGAGCAAGGTGGGTATCCCTACTGAACAGAGAGGAGGTTGGGGAACAGTGGCCTAGAGTGGGGTGTCAAAACCTGAATGGGGTGAGGAAGGAGGAGCAGCCTAGCATTTGGTGTTGGGGCCCAAGCCAGGTGAAGACAGCATCCATGCAAGGGGCAACCTAGCATGGAGAATCAGAGGATGGGAGGTTAAAAAGAGTGTCCATGCTAGGGGACAGACAGCTGCAGGGGGTCAGAATACATAGGATGAGAAGAATATCCACGCAGAAACAATGTGAATATCAGAGTCTGAGCAAGGTCAGGAGAGTGTCTCTACTGGGTAGGGGCAGCAAGTGGGGTATCAGAGTTTGATCTGGATGAGGAAGATGCCAGCTTGGTGGGGGTAGAGGTTTGGTCTGGAAGTAGTTGTTAAAGCCAAATTAGGGTGAAGAAGTCATATGTGTGGGGAAGGGTGGTGGTAGAGATGGGAGAATATAGCATATGGGGGAATGGATCAAATAAATAAATATATTAAGGATAATGAAGTTACTCACTGTCAGAGAAGGGACTTACAAATACAGAAAAGGAAAAACCTGAATGAACTCTGTGGTATTAGAATGGAATTGAAAGTTTGATATATCATTGGTATTCAATATGTACAGACAAATATAGAAATAAATATAGATACAAGTATGTGTGTCTTTGTGTGTACAAACATATATTCCCTAGCTCTGTACACAGAGAGGACCTGGGAGCAGCCATCCCCAATAGCAATGAGTCCACCTAATGCACAGATTCTGACTTCTAAATACCATTCTCCACTAAAAGGAATTAGGACTCCTTGGAGAAATTACTGGGTCTAGGGCAAGGAAAGTACAAAATGGACCCTGAAGTAGCTTGTGCTAGAAAACAAGGAATTGCTCCAAGAATAATGGAGACATGTTTTTTAAAACAACACCACACACATACAGGCAGATGCACGTGCACGTGTGCGTACATGCACACACACACCATACAAAGACAAGCCAGCTTGAAGGGATTCCCACTGGTTACATCTGGGACAACTTGAACATCAAATGTTAGTAACAGATTATAACCCACTGAAAAAAAATAGGAAACTGTGAGTCTACACAGCAAGCAATCAAGAGTCTGATGAGAAACAGGATTTTAGTTTCAAAGTACCTCTGCACAAAATACATATTAATTACAAAAGGGGAAAGAATAACTTTATGGTGGAACAGAATGCCTGGCAGACCCCATTTTTATCTAATCATCAAAGTAAACATCAATAGTGGAACAAATCAACATATGCGTATAATAGGCCACAGTGAAAATACAACATCAATTCTATATTTCTGCTAAAGATGCATATAACCTGCATATCTCAAGGAAATATCATATAAACTCAAATTAAGTGACAATCTACAAAATACCTGTTCTATAATCCATGAACTGTCAGGGTTAAGAAAATAAAGGAAAAATTGAGAAACTGTTCAAAAGTGAAGGAAACTGAAGAGACTTGACATGCAAATACAATGTATTGTTCCAAACGGGATGCTTTTGGCATAACATTATTAATATAATCATTAAAACTTGTATGTAGTTCGAGTATTAGACATTAGTAGTGTAACATGTTAATTTCCATTTTCATGTTGTGTTATGGTTCGATAAGAGAATGTCATTGTTTGTAGGAAGTACACACCAAAGTATTCAGGGGTGATGGGTCATCAGGCCAGCAATTTACTCTGAAAAGATTAAGGGGGAAAAGTTGTTTGTACATGAAAAGTTACTATACTTGAAACTCTCATATAAATTTGTGACTATATATACATAATGTTCATGATTTTATGAACATGTCCCATGACAAGAGAAGAAAGGGAGAAAGCAAAGCTTTTTCATATATTTACTCAACAGGTTATACTTGTAAGGTTGTTTAAAGAAGTCCATCATGTTCAAATTTATGTGACTAAAAGAAAATCAGTGATTTTTGAGGGCAGGGAGCATAACAGCCAAAGTACAGCTCATCCCTCTGTATTCAGAAATTAGCTCAGTTCTGAGTTGGACTCGAAAGTGTCCTTTACTAACTAAAAAATCAGTACCAAATATGTCTTACAAAAATGAGAAATGATTCTAACTATGCCAGATGTAATAGGAAAAACACTGCATTGGGAATCAGGACAACTTGAGTCCCAGCTCTTCTACTTGTGATTTGAGTCAAGTCATCTAGTCTTTCTGTGTTGTTTTCTTACCTATGTTTAAAATATATTGTGAGGGGGGAGGAGCAAGATGGCAGAGGAGTAAGAGACCCAAATTTCGTCTGGTCCCAGGAATTCAGCTAGTTATCAGACCATTCAGAACACCTACAAACTCAACAGGAGATTGAAGAAAAGAAGAGCAGCAACACTCTAAACAGAAAAGCGCCCACATTCTGGAAGGTAGGACGTGCGGAGAAGTGAATCCGAGGCAATATTCGGGAAGATAGACTGCGGGGGGAGGGAGCCTCCATCATCTGCCTACCAGCAAGTAATAGAGCAGCAGAGCACAAAATAGGAACTTTTAGAAGTCAGCTCCACTGAGGAACGTCGCTCCAGTGCCTAAGCAGGGAGTGGAACCCTGGCTGGGACAGTGTGGTCTCAGGACCTTCGGGCTCATAGAAAGACTGGGGGTGCCTGAGTGTGGCAGAGCTCCCAAGTATTGGAGCAAGGAAGTCGTCTGCAAAGACGGAGCCAAGGAGTGGGCTCTCAGATCAGGGCTGCCATAAACTGTGATCCGCTCTTCAAGCAGGGATCCAAACAAGTGGCAGATCCGGGGAGACTCCCCTTCCTCCCCCGCCAGAGGAGCAGTGGAGCACACCGCAGGAATCTGCTGGGTTTGGAGACTCCAAACAAGGTCATGTGCCAGAGATAGAAATGCTCGGTCACAGGCTGGGTGAGCACAGAGTGCAGCCAGAGACTGGGGAGACAGGAGTGATTGACTGCTTTTCTCTGGGGACACACTGAGGAGAGGGGCTCTGAGCTCTCGGCTCCTCTGGGACCAGAGATTGGAAGGCCACCATTTTCATTCTCGTCCTCCAAAGCTGGATGGAAAGCTTTCAGGGAACAAAAGCTCCCGAGAGCAAACCTGAGCAGATTACTTAGCCCGGCCCTAGCAAGGGTGGGGCAATTCCGCCTCCGGCAAAGACATTTGAAAACCACTGCAACAGTCCCTCCCCCAGAAGTTCAGCAAGAACAGCCAGCCAAGACCAAGTTTACCGATCAATGAGAATGACAAAACTCCAGTGCTAGGGGAATACAACACATAAAATTCATGGGTTTTTTCCCCATGATTCTTTAGTCTTTCAAAGGTAATTTTTTAAATTTTCTTTATTTTTCTCTTTTTCTATTTTTTTAGTTGAATTTTTCTTCTTTCCTTTTGGAACCATCTTTTTTTAATCTTTTTTAATTTTTCATTTTTGCAGTCATATTCTATCTCTTCATTGTATTTAACCTTATTTTTTGTATATATATAAGTTTTCGTTTCTTTAAAATTCTGGGATACAGTTTCTTCTAACAGACCAAAATATACCCTAAATCTAGTGTATGACATTGTCCTAGTCTCCCACCTGATCACATTCTCTCTTTTTTAAAATTTTTTTCATTCTTTTTTTCAACCAACTTCTTACCAATTCTTTTTTAAAATTCTTTTTAATTTTCATCTTTACAGTCATATTCCATCCCTTCATCGTATTTACCCTTATTTTTGTGTATATATATATATATATATATATATATATATGTTTTTTTTCTTTAAAATTTTGGGAGGCAATTTCTTCTAACAGACCAAAATACACCCAAAATCTGGTGTGTGGCTCTGTTATATTCACCAGCCTGATCATACTCTTTTTTTTTTTTCCCCTCCTTCCCCCTCCCCACCCAGTTTCAAGTTTCTTCTGATATGTTTAGGGTATATTTTTCTGGGGTCATTGCTACCCTTTTAGCATTTTTTTTAACATTTTGTTCTCTCATTCATCTAGTCTCCTCTGGACAAAATGACAAAATGGAAAAACCTCAAAAAAAAGAACAAGAGGCAGTACCGACTGCCAGGGACCTAATCAATACAGACATTAGTAAGATGTCGGAACTAGAGTTCAGAATGATGATTATAAAGATAATAGCTGGGCTTGAAAAAAGTATAGAAGATACTAGAGAACCCCTTTCTGGAGAAATAAAAGAACTAAAATCTAACCAAGTTGAAATAAAAAAGGCTATTAATGAGGTGCAATCAAAAAGGTAGGCTCTAACTGCTAGGATAAATGAGGCAGAAGAGAGAATTAGTGATATAGAAGACCAAATGATGGAGAATAAAGAAGCCGAGAGAAAGAGAGATAAACAACTCCTGGATCACAAGGGGAGAATTTGAGAGATAAGTGATACCATAAAGCGAAACAACATTAGAATAATTGGGATCCCAGAAGAAGGAAGAGAGAGGGGCAGAAGGTATATTGGAGGAAATTATAGCAGAGAACTTCCCTAATTTGGGGA